CCCCCCCAAGACGGTCGTCCTTAAGTGCCGATTGGGGAGCTGCTGTCTTTAAGCGTGTCTAATCTGTACCAAATTAGCTCAACCGTTCTGAACAACTACTTGAAAGTCCATCTTTTGTCCGTTCTCGATCAAACCCAGCTTCGCGGTATTTCCCACTCGATCGCGGCCATCGACCAGCTCCCCAAAAGCCTCCAAACAACCGTCCGGGGAATCTTTTCGGATGGGTTCAATACTCGTTAGTCCAAAGCTCGCTTTCCATCACCTGGGGCTAGTACAGCCTGTGCATGGAACATTTCCAGCTAACATTGGCCTGCAATGACGTTAGAAAATCGGTTGTGCATGTATTTCAGCATTGCTGCGTGTATTTCTTCGCTGCTGATTTGAGAGCGCAACCCATCAAGATCACCCATGCAAGGCTTTTAGCCAGATATGATTTTGGGCGATTGAGCTCGTTGAGGCCCGGCGACGGAGGTCGTAGATCAGGCCCTGTTCTACACCTCGTCGATACTTAGTCCCGGCCCCTCGTCTGGCACGGAAGCCCTTAGCCATCACCTCCGATAGATTTGTTGATAGAATACTAGCTTATCAAACCGGCCTTCGAGGTCTAGCATGATAATTCCTGGCCAAAACTCAAGCTCAGCTCGGTTCCACCGACGTCACGTTCGCAAGCCAATGGCACAGCCTGGGACGGGGGAGACGAGCGGAAGAGGATTCTTTCCCGTGACCGATGTGATTCCATCCATAATATTGTTGACTACTGGCTCTGGCATGGCAATCTACATGGTTCTGCGGACTCAGGGATCGGCCTCGGACCTGTCAGTGCTGCTTATGTCTAGATCACCGAGGAGCTCCCTGACAGGTGGCTACCTCCGCCATAGATGCAGGTGGCGAAGGGGGCTTGGGATGCCTGGGCGTAATGACGAGGAGCAAAGGCTTCATTAGTACCTCACTTTCATCGTGCTTAGTGGTAGTCAACGTGACGGGCGGCGACCCATATTCAGATTTCTCGCTGGACCCCGCCGTAGATAGCTTCCCTTTCTACAACATGCACGGATAGAGAGATCGCCCAGAGCCCTACAGCCTCTGATAGCGATCGTGTCTCTAGATACCCTCTATTTACGATGATTTCCTCATTCCTCTGATCACTCTCTGCGATACTCTGGCCACCCTCCGTTGTGTCATGTAGCCCTGAGCCCCTTCCGGAGACTCCACGCTTCGGCTCAGCTATCTTGCCCCTTGGGGGTGCGGAATCGTCCATGTGCTATCGGCGGGGCATCTTCCTTCTGCATTGGGTGACTGACAGTGCCGTCATGTGGACACCCCAGTGTGCCCCGGCGGTCCATGGCAGGCCTAGATATACGGAGTTGCAAGGCGGGAAGGGCGGCGGCTCGGCGGACGGATGAATCTAGCGCGTAGGTTTTGCCGACGTAGCCCCCGGCGGGTCTATATAGAGCGGCCCAGCCAGTTCATGACATTTCGGGGGTCGCCGTCCTGTAGCCATAAGGGCAAGGTGGCCGCCGCGTATGGGCAGGTCTCGAAGGCCGGCGCCAAGGGGCTGTCGTCCGAGGAGGAGCGGAAAGATCTTGGACCGAAGCTATCACCTAGCATGGCCTTGATCCCCGATGAGCAAGGCAAGATGCAGCTGTGTAGTGCATCTGCGCCAGCTCGTCGACGGCGGGCCTTAAGCCCTAGTCCGTGTTGTCTTCACCAAGCTACGGTAGCCTGTTGGCCGTGCTACGCTCGGCGAATGGCGGATCGTCTCTCTCGACGTCTTTCTCTATGATGTGGCGGCCTTTGCATATCTGGTCCAACATCCCCCAGGTAGCATACATGAGGCTCAGCGTTGGGTCCTGCTTGTTCGCCGCCTCGACTGTGAGAAAGACTGCAGGAAAGATGTAAGTGAATGGACAGGCAAACAAGGCTATTAACCTCAATTCCATATTCGCCTGTGCCGCCATCCTACCCGAGGTGCCGTCATATTTACGCAATCTTCTGCTGGCAGTGAGCGCGTTATGTGGCGGTTGACGATGGGCGATCCCGCAGGGTAAAGATTCGCGACGCTAGGATCTTAACTTCAAAAGGCAGCCATAATGGTCCCCACGGGATGTGGTAGTCCATGTCACTGCAGTTGTGCTGAAGGCATGGTTTCCTCTGGGAGGTCGAGAGGCTGAGACACAAAGGAGGGGGGGATGTCGAATGTATGCAGCGGGGTATCGAGGGCCGTACAATTTATATGACAGCCTGTAGAGAAAGAGGAACGAGTGAAACCACCAAGCGGAACACTACCCAGTGGAAAGCAGGCTTCGCTTTTTACGGTGGAATGCCTGGGTATACCCCCCGTAGCCGGCGTAGCGGTCATGTATCCTAGATATTTGAACTCCCGCCATTTTTGTCGAAGTTGCCACTCGGACAACCAGTCTACCTGGGGTAGGCGCGACAGACCTCTAGCCCGTCACATTATTGTGCTAGGGCAAGGCCATGCAGTCACCCACCCTTCAATAAACCTCCTCTTCTTTCGAAATTTTCTCCACCCAGACTTCAGCCCTCAGCCAGACCGATCAACATCACCAGCAGCTGAGCAAGGCCTTTCGTCGTTCTATCTTCCACACGAGAAGTAGCAAGATACCAAGCTCAAGCCTTTATAGTCTCTTGCCTTTCTTCGTTCTTGCCATTCCCACGCTTCGATACTCTACCCATCCTTGAAGCAAGCAGCACGACTGCCTACCCAATCTCCATCTGCTTCATCAAAGTCGCTTCTCGCCGAAGCCGTCCCCATCCGTCTACTTCGTTGGACGAAAATCTTCATCCATCTCCTTCATTGAACGCAACCTCCATCTACCTCTACAAACACCATATCACTCTCACCAGAAGCCATCATAATGGAAGCCGGTACCGTCGCTACAACTCAGCTTCCCGATGACGGGGCAGGCCAGATACTGTACGAGGTCCGCCGGACCGCAGACCGCGGCAGAGGCCTCTTCGCACTCAAGGACATCGCCGAAGGTGCCCGAATCATGACCGAGGAGCCTCTGATGGTTGCTACCTGGCCCCAAGATGATACGTCAATGGAGATCACCGCTGGCATGAAGCTGCTGGCCATGACCAAGGAGAAGCAGCGCCAGTTCCTGTCCCTCTACAACAGCGAGAAGAAGAAGATGCACCCGTTCGGCGGCATCATACGCACCAACGCCCAGTCCTGCGGCGCCAGGAGCCAGATGATAGCCACCTTCGCCACCGTCTCGCTCATCAACCACAGCTGCGAGCCCAACACGCACCAGGCCTGGAACAAGGAAAAGGAGCAGGAGACAATCCATGCCACCCGGCCCATCAAGGCCGGCGAGGAGCTCACCATCGCGTACGTCATGTTCGAGACGACTGCGGTGCGCCAGGCCACCCTCAAGGCCATCTACGGCTTCACCTGCACCTGCCCGGTCTGCTCCAAGCCCGAGCCGGCCCGCGCCGAGAGCGACCAGCGGCGCAGCCTCGTCGGCGTCCTGGACGTCAAGATCAGCGACCCGCAGCGGGTCAAGGACGAGCCCGCGGGGGTCCTCGCCGACTGCGCCGCGCTCGAGCAGGTGCTGCTCGACGAGTTCGACGGCAAGCCCGACCAGGGCATCATGGTCCGGCTGTACTACGACGCCTTCCAGGTCGTCGTGTCGCACGCCGACCAGGCGCGCGGCATCGTCTTCGCCCAGCGCGCCCACAGGGCCAGCGTCCTGGCCGAGGGCGAGGACAGCCCCGGCACCAAGAAGATGGCCCCGCTGGCCAGCCTCCCCAGCTCACACGCCTCCTTCAAGCTCTACGGAGCGGCGTGGAGGTGCCGCAAGACCCGGGTCCCCCAGGGCCTGGGCGACGAGGACTTCAAGAAGTGGCTGTACAAGCTGGAGCAGTGATGAGACCAAGCGTTCCACACTGTAGGCGAGGACTGGCGGGCGGGGAGGCGGGGGAGCGTGGCCGGGTGGCCGGGAAGGGAATACTGCGTAGATAGTGTCCACAATACCAATCGAATAATTTGCGTATGATTTTCTAATTTGCGCTGGTGAACAGTTTTATAAGGGCCAATCCGTGAACTTTTGAGCCAAAAAAAAAGACCATGTGAATGGGATAAATCCTGTCACCTGCCATCCAATTGCAAATTAGTAGCTCTGGAATTCAGAGCTATTAGCAAACAAGCGTTTTCAAAATATCACAATGAATAGAAGCATAATGTTGGTATTTATTCTTTGGGAGCAAATGGTCCCAAGCTGGTCCCCACGAAAAAAAAGTATCGTTACAAATGACCCTTTCGAATTCCATTCCGGCCCGCCCGTCCCCCTCCCACTGCTTGGCAGCCGCACCATCCCCCGCCCTCTAAGAGCTCTCCTCGCCCTCCTCAACACAGGCAAGCTTTCCCGCCTGCGGAGAATGTAGGTTAGCATTGCTCTTGCACATCTTTCGCCCAGAGAAGGTCCCCGCCCGACGACCAACAGCTCACCTTTGCCGCGCCCCCCTTGCCCTTCCGCGCCTTCTTGGCCGCCTTCCTCTTCCTCTCGGGGATCTGGGCCCAGGGCGCCGCGTCCGCGAACCCGGTGAGGGCCGGGAACTCGGCGATGGACACGGGCACGTTGCCCGAGGGGTAAGGGCGGGCCGCGAAGGCGCCCTCCAGGATCTGGCCGTGCCGCAGCGCGTGGTACTCGTGCTTGCGGAGCTCGTCGAAGGCCACCCGGCCCGGGTACCTGCCGATGATGTCGTAATGCAGCTCCCGCAGCTGCGGCGGCAGCTTGTCGGCGAACCCGGGCCTGCGCACCGCCTGCCCGTCGGGCTCCCTGAGCTGGTAGCCGTGGCGGATCGTGGCGGCGAGGGACTTGGCGAGGGTCGCGTGGAGGCGGTACTGGTCCTCGGGCATGGTGACCCAGTACGTCATGAGCGCGGCCATGAACTTGTCGAGCTGGGGGACGGGCCCGTGCCAGCCCTCCTCGGAGGCGTCTTGCGGGTCGTAGTTCCAGGCGGCCGCGTCGAGGAGGATCACGCCGTTGATGATGCTCGAGCTGTCCAGCACCATCGAGCCTTCCAGCCGGATGCCGCCCAGCGCGGCCCTGGGGTCGGAGGCTTGGGCGATGGGCGCCGCGTAGTAGCCGCTGTGGCCGAGGAGGACGTCGGCCGCCTTGCGAGGGTCCGAGACGAGCAGATAAAGGTCGAAAAGAGGGAGGTCTTGGGCGTGAGGCGCCAGCGCGTCCTCGAACCAGGCAATGCTAGGGATTCCGCCGGATGCCAGAAGTCTGCATGGCTCAAACCGGGGATGTGGAGCGCCCGTCTCTTCTTGGTTCGGGTGGTTCGGCGGCAGTTCCGATTCGCTGCTGTCTCCCGTTTCGGATGAATAGCCAGAGGCGCAGCAGGCGAACGACGACGCGATATCCATGAGAGTCGACATGATAATAGAAAACGGCTGTTTGGCCGTGTTTGTAATCTTTCGAGTATTCTTAAGTATTTTGGAGACGGGGATTTGACCTGGCGTCGAAGTAGGAATATATCTCTTGTAAGACCTGTGCGCGGCACTTGAACTCCTCTTCGTCTTCCGAAGCAACGAACTGGATGTTGATGGCGTGGTTGCGGCCCCGGAAGCAGAAGGGAAATCAGTCGTGATGTTGTTTCTAGCGGCTGGTGTCCTGGTACTGGAGATTTTATTCCTAGACTCGGTTGAACTTGATATGGGTGAATGTGATGCGTCTCCTCTGACACGAGCTGGATAGATTCACATCTGGCACGTGAGGATTCTTAGATTAGGCATCCGGTAGGTAGCACTGGTAGGCGTGGTTGAAAATTAGATGGCAAGAACTTGGGATTTGTGACTACGCTCCCGTCCGGAGGCGTCAGCTGCCTCTCCTTCACTATTGCATGTTCTGGGTGCGTTTAGGGAAGTCGCCATGGAGGGCAGTGCTAAAACAAGGCTTTCTCACTCCATATCCTCCTGTGACTACGTGTTTCAAATCAAAGTAAAAACCAGTCATTATCGAAAGCACATTGATTATCAGATATTTCTTACGTGATTAATTCAAGCTATCAACGATTACGAACATTCGTTCGGTATGTTCTTTTCCTCTTACACCTGCAAATCCGCACATCCAGACCGGGGCTTCGCTCATTTCCACAGTGTTCTCTTGTCCGCCGCATCCTTCACAAAGTGCCCCATCAAGAACTTGTTGCCAAGCCCTTCCAGTCTGGTCCTGTATCTCTGCTCAGCCCGAGCCGCCTTCTCCAGCTGCTGTTGCTGCGTCGCCAGCACCGCTCTCTTCTCCGAATCTGAAAGGTGCGTCAAGGCGCCGGCATCACTAGCCCGCAGGCTGGCGAGCTGTTTGTTGATTGTGTGCTCCCGCCTCTCGGCTCTTGTCAAGTCCCCTCCACTTGATCCCGTTTGTGCTGCTTCTACTGACTCTGGCGAAGCTGTTGACGGTACCTGATGCGTCCGTGTATCGCTTGTGACTTTGGTCTCCTCAAGCCTTTCCTTCTCCCCCGGAGAGCTGGATCTGCGCGGCTTCCGTCGAGGCCTTGTTTGCTGCTGGGTGCGGTTGGAGACAGTCCGGCCAGAAGGCAATCGTAGCAACCCCTCGTCATCCTGCACCAAGAGGCTCTCTGCCTTGCCACCTGCGGAAGCTGGGTTGCAATCCTCATCCTCCCCTTCCTCACTCTCGGCCTCTGACACAGAGAAGGTGTAGAAGTCGGTATATTCCGAGTCCGGACTCTCGATGTCGAACTTGCAGTGGCCCTTCCCCAGCATATCTGTTTGAAGGGTGTCAGCCCTGGGAAGCCTTGAAAAGGTACGGGTCAAGAAAAGACTCACGTTGCTGGACTGCTTGAGTCGTGTTCCGCTGGGTACCACAGCAGATACACTCGTTATATCCCGCGATAACCAAATGCAGATAGGAGAGGAGCGTCTCGATGTCGACGGCGAGACGTTCTCTATCTGCAATGAAGAGGCCATGTGCGGTTTGCATGTGTGCTACATTTGCGTCCAAGCCATCAGTGAGCCTGTTGCAAAAGAGACACCGCTCCTTGTGGAAGACTGCAACCTCTCGAGATGTTTCGAGGGGCGTGTCAGGAAGTCTTGACGGGCTTCTGGAGCCGCTTGTTGTGGTGGTGTTGACCATGTTGAGGGGTCGGGGAAGTCTTGAGCGAGTGGGCTGGCTGGAAAAAAGGCTGCTTTGAGTGGATGGTGTCAAATCGAACAATAAATCTTAAGCTGTAAAAGGCGTGTGATGGATGGAGAACGAGATATTCACACAAACATCTGGAGCTTTCTGGAGTGTTATATGCTCGCTTTTAGCAAAGTTGGTTAACGCTAAACAAAGCGTGGGCGCTCGCTTTAGCGTGCCCAGCCGTCAGGATAGGGTCTAGCGTTAGTGGGGCGGCCAAGATACCACGCATGCCTATTGGCTCACAACGAATGAGGGTGAATGAATCATTTTGATATTTCGACCACCACGTTACCTAATGCGTGGCCAACTAATGCCATTGCCGAGCCACATCGCTTCTCCTTGCACCGGCGCCGGCGGCCCCGCATTGTCCCTCACGAAACAAGCTAGTAAGCTTTTGTCCGGTAGCCACAATCATTCAAAAGATGATCTGAGCCATCGCCGCGAGGCAGTGAGTGCCAAGGGTAATTCTAGTGTGACAACCGGAGTGGACAGCTCCGAAGACGTGCGATTCCGTCGATGAGATATGCTTTGGCGAGAACGTTGGTCGGAGGCCCGATCCTTTCCCGGCGAGAGCTTGCTTAAACTACCTGTGGGCAAGCGTTAGAGACCTCCTGATAATCCCCGACGTTGCGAACTGTGTAGGGGATTTAGATACCTCATCGTACGTCGCAATCGACGTCCTGACCTCGTCCCAGTCATAGTGGCCATCGATGCCGAAAGTGTGGTCCCAGAACACGACACGGTCGCCGAAATGGTCGCCAACCAGTCCCGAAACTTTGGTGATGTAAGCCCTCTCTTCAATTGGTATGGCCCGAAGGATGGACCCAAAGCGGCGAAACTTGTGTCCCGCGAAAGGGAGGATCAAATAGCCGCCCACAGGGAAGTAAACTCTGTTCGCCGTGAGCACGACGCCCTTGTCCTCGGCGAAGGTCGCTATAACGCTGGCGAGGAAGGCTTTCCACTTATTCTTGTCCTCTGGACTGCTTGTGAGCGGAGGGACCATGTCGAAGCCAAGGGCCATGGCCGCGTTGCTAAGCGATCTGGTTGGCGGGCAGGAGACTCAAATGTGAGATTCGCTGGCAGTGTAAAGATGGTAGGCGGTTGTGACTTTTGCCTTGGGCTTGGTTGTTGAGTTGGGCTAAGATTTGTGGGAACGAAGTTTATAAAAGCGCGTGAAATTGAATATTTCGGTGATGTAACTAGTAGATAGTTAGGTAGATAGGTACCTGGTTTACTCGACGCTCCAGCCCAGGTGGGTGGTGAGAGTGATCAGACCAAACATGTCCGAGATTGGCTCGTGCACCGGCTCTCCTTCTGGGTAGATCTAGGCACGAGCGTCACCCTCATTCCTGCACCGCCATAACAACATTCAAGCACTTTCCACTCTCATTCGTGGGGCTCTACAGGGCGGCCGCACCTCCAGCAGAATACGCTAGAAGCAGCATATTGAAGCTTGTTTGTGACAGCAGCTGGCGGGTTACATGGAAGGCCTGGGCGCCAAGCACCAGGAAATATCAAACCTCCCCGCAGTGCGGCTTGTGGCCTGAATTCCTTTGATCTAGATTCGTCTCCAGCCTCTATTCGACAGGATCAGCTTCCACTTCAGGGTAAGCTTCTCCAAGTTTCGTTCCTACCGAGACGTTACTTGTTGCGATAATTCGCTTTGTTACATGCAGAAGCAAATACTTCAGCAGAACCCTTTTACAGCGTAATCTAGCCGCCTTGAATCTAGGAGCCAGATTATGCAAATAACTACCCTCACTCACCTTCGCTCTCCTCACCTCCACTACTGCCGTGTCGTTCCCGAGTTACAATGACTAGCTGAAAAGAGAAAGGCGCCTGCTACAGGGAAACGAACCCCTAATATTAACGCTTGACACCTTAACTTTCCGGTGCAGAATGCCACCGGTGTAGTTTCACAGGCGGTGCCGTGTGTTCAGGTGGCAGGCGCGAGGTTGCGAGTCAACCAGATGGCAGGACCGAAATGCACTGACGCCAACCCTTTCCCTGCCAGCCGGGCTATCATGACGGGTAGGGCCAAAGGGGTAAATGCGTGCAGCGGAGGATAAATTGAAAGAGATCTGCAGGCCACAGGCCGGCTGTGAAAAATCTGATATCTCCGAGTCCTTGGGACTCGCGCCTGGGTTTCTCACGTGACCTTGTAGGTGCTGTGACATGGGCGCAGACTACCTCCAGATAAATAGCAGGCAAGCCGTCAAGGATTTGCGGCTGAATGACGGACGGCCGGGGTTCCCGTGTTTAGGCCCGGTGCGGGGAAACGGCCTGGTGGGGGACTGCCCGACTTCGGAGTCGAGCTTGGCGTTGAGTCACAGTACAGGCCCATCAAGAGAATGCTCAAACCCATCTGCATGATCCTCCGGAAGCTCGAATTTTAACACCTCCTGGGCCAGCCGGTTTCACGACATACACGACACTCCAGCTATACCTATACCGATAAACTGACCGCTCGCGACCCGTGAGCGTCGTTACGAACGAAAATGTTACGCTGGGGTATCGCCCTCGCGTTTCTGGGTCTGACCGCGTTGGCGTGGGCTCATAACGCGTTGCGAAAACGGGTTAAAGTAAGCCAATATAATAAAAACATATGCGATGCCGGAGGCATGAACTAACGTATTCGTGGATCAGGCGAAGCAGTCGTCCAAATCTTCAAAGCACTCCCGTGATGATGAGAAATCGGGATCCCAAGATAGATACCCAACGGAAGCAAGCCCGGCAACCGGGATATTTCCCCTGAAGGGTTCCCGATGGGATCAAGTGACTCCCCAAGCCTTCCGGCCCTTCAAGCCCATCTATCACATTACGATGGGTCCGTATACGTACCGGTGTTGCGCCCCTGAAAACGCAGGGCCGCTGGCTGACGCAGGGCTGGTCGCCACAAAAAGGCATCCAGTCCAGCACTCCCTCAGAGCTGATCGAGATCGACAGCAGCTATCTCGACCAGATAGCGTACAGGAGGCGCATTCTCACCGAGAACGCCACCACAGTCACCGGCAGCGTGCCGGAGGGCGTGCTCCCCGCCCGAGAGCTGTACGAGTTTCTCCTCGTCGAGTACCTGCCCGCCCGCTACCCGGACATGTTCGCCCTGGAGGCGCAGGGCGCCGACTTCCGGAACAAGGTAACCGGGCGCGGCTTCCAGACGGCGCCGCCGGGAGACGTGCTGGAGCTCCTGCGCGTCCTCGGCGAGAACGTGGAGGACGACCTGTTCCTGCTGGTCGAGACGCCCGAGGGCCACCGTATGGTGTCGTTTGTGTGCTGCCACCCGTCCGGCTTCGACCCGTCGGCGAAGTTGGGGAAACTCCTTAGGGACATCCATGAGCCTGTGCCAGCCTATGAGAAGATCGGGGCGAGCATGGAGCGGTTCTTTGCGAAGCTGGAGGCGGGCAAGGTAGTCAAGAGACTAAACGTGAGCAATCGCAGCCACCTGATCTATTGCTGGGGGCTTACTTCGTGACTAACAAACCGGCTTTACTCAGTGGGGAATCACTACCGTGCCCGAGCTCTTCACGCCGGGGTTCAACCACGTTAGCGAAGGGGAGACGTTTGTGGCGGACGAGGAGGTCGACATCGATATGGTAAGCCGGGGTAGGAAGCTCGTCCTGATGTTGCACAAGCCCGCTTGCTGACCCCGGCGCTACGCTCCTCCACCGCAGACCCGGCTTCGTGTCGAGCTGCAGGCGCTTTCGAGGCTTCCCAAGACGGGCGCGATCCTCTTCTCGTTCAAGTCGTACCTGTACCCGCTGGTCGACATTAAAAAAGAAGGGCTGGGTCCGGGCCTCGCCGATGCGATCGAGGGCCTCAAAGACGGGAACGCCCCGGGCATGTGGCTATACAAGGGCGCGGTGCGGTGGGGGAACAGCGTGTGCAAGTATCTGCGGGCGTGAGTACCGCTGGTTGTGTTAGCCATGAAGATAACTTGGGATTATTTGGCTTGATCCACCGAAGTGGCCTACCGGACGCGCTTGGCCGACCACAGACACGATGTCTCAGATGAGCTAAAACGGGACCGGGACAATACTTACGCCACACGTCGCCTGAGCCTCTCAGGCTTGGGCCCTACTCAGGCCTGAATGTCCCGAGAAGCCCGCGGGCTGGATTTAGCGCGTGAGCTGGCGGGGTGGGTGCATGGAGCTGGGCACTGAGGACCCCGTAGAGTCTCGGCCTCATGTTATCTGGGTTAGGGGGTAGACAGATCGAGCAGATCCTTCCATTCTTCCTGAACATGGACAAGACAGAATGCCAAGAAAAGAGAACGTCGTGCTCGCAGGTATCGTAAACATGGGTATCGAGGATGGAATTCATGGGATCGCAAGGATGGGATCTGGGCTGTCGGCGTGCGAGGGCTCGGGATCAAGGCCTGCCGGTCGAGGACGAAGAGTTGGCCCCTCCATCTTGGCATCTGTAAAGTTTATCTGGACTTGTAAGATGTTTGCGAGACCTGCGGCGCACGCACACCAACGCGCAATATGACCTCTTGGCGCCGCGTCAAAAGCCGACATCTGAACGAGCTGTCGTTTGGCCCAAGAGTCGCAAGCCTGTAACGCCGACGGCGATGTTTCCTTTGTTGGGCTGTTGGGACCAAACGGGTCAGGGGTGGTTTGGTGAGTGGGAGTGTCTTGAATGGGTAGGCAGTAGGGCAACAAATCGATATGGATGTCAAGCTGCGGTTGTTTGTATTTGGTTCCCATGTTGGTCCTGGGAGACTGCTACAGTCTTATGGAATCTGGCATATGAAGGGGGGCCTGTTTGTTCTCGCTGATTTGGAGATGGGAAGCTGACAGACGGGTAGCAGCAGGACAGGCGGGGAGAAGACTCCGTAACAGAGCCGAGGTGGCTTTCATCCCGTCTTTTGCTGGCTGTCTGTCGAATGACAGAACCGCCAATGCACTCGCATCGCTCCTTCCGCGTTCAAGGCGTAAGGACCTGCTCGGCCGGTTTCGGACACGAGTTGGTGTCGTGTCGAGGGATTTCACACTGGGCCGGAATCCCGTGTGGGATGGAGTGAGGCTCTAACCGCCACGTGCGTGCTCCAACGACGTTCCTCTCACGCAGCCTGGAAGCCCCTAGACTATCTCTTGGCACCCCGAATGGATGCCTGGGTATTAATGCTTGAGCCGCCACCCTCTCGTCCTCGCCCAACAGGCTTTGCACACTGACCAAAGCTGCAGCTCCTCCCATAATAGCCCTGCCTGCGAGGAGTGGCCCGAGTGTTCCCACGAGGCCCACGGATTGGCTTTGTCCTGCCAGGACACCGCGGCTTGCGTGTTGCTGTTAGCACAGGGAACCCTCCTCGGCAGAGGTCCGATCCTTCTTTCCCTCGAACCTCCTACCCAGCAACAGCCCACCCTCCAAGCCAGCACTGACGCCACCCCGCAACCTCGACGTGGGACAACACCTAGCGGCTTGCCCTACCCATCCCACATCCCTGACCAGCTTTTTGTCCCTCGGCCGGGCTAGGTTGGGAAGCAAGTGCCACCATGTCGGCCCCTCCAAAGCTCCCGCTCCTATCCTTCCTAGGCGACGTGCCGTCGGCTCCGACTCTCGCCCCCAGCACGCCAAGCATCATGTCGGCCTCGGAAAAGGACTTCGACACCACCCCGGCAGACGGCGCGATGCCGAGCACCGAGAAGGAGAGCGAGCCGGCCGGCGGGACGGGTGCCCGCGAGGTTGAGGACATCAGCAGCAGCGCCGAGAAGCCGGCGCCCGCCCAGGATGACGTGAGCATCACGACGACAACGACGGCGTCGGCTCCGAGAACCAGGCGGCCTGACACCCCCGTACCACAGACAGGCATGAGGGAGGACGGCACGTCCTACCCCGCTGGCATCAAGCTCGCTGTTCTCAGCATCGCGCTCTCGCTGGCCGTGTTCCTGATGGCCCTCGGTACGTTCTTTTTTTTTCCTCGACAGATCTACCATGGCAATGCGGAAGAGGTCGCAACGGCGGGAGCTGACGATAGATGCCACTCTTTGATGGAAAACAGACAATGTCATCATAACAACTGCCATTCCGAGGATCACGGACGAGTTCCGCAGCCTGGAGGACGTAGGCTGGTACGGTAGTGCGTACCTCCTCACCACGGCGGCGCTGCAGCTGCTCTTCGGAAAGTTCTACACCTTCTTCAGCGTCAAGTGGATCTACCTGATCGCCATTGGCGTCTTCGAGCTCGGCTCCCTGATCTGCGGCGTGGCCCGGAACTCCCTGACGCTGATCCTCGGACGCGCCATCGCCGGCCTGGGCTCGGCCGGCCTCTTCTCGGGCTCACTCGTTATCCTGGCCCACTCGGTCCCCATGGCCACGCGCCCGTTGTTTACGGGCCTGATCGGGTCGATGTACGGCATCGCCTCGGTCGCCGGCCCGCTTCTAGGCGGCGTCTTCACCGACAAGGTGACGTGGCGCTGGTGCTTCTTCATCAACCTGCCCATCGGCGCCGTCACCATCGCCGTTATCGCTCTCTGGTTCGAGGACCCCAGGCGGCCCCGCGCCGCCGCCGCCGCCGCCGACGACGACGGCCAAGAGCCCGAGCCCGAGACGTGGCGCCAGCGCCTGATGCAGTTCGACCCGCTGGGCACGCTCCTCTTCACGCCCTCCATCGCCTGCCTGCTGCTAGCGTTGCAGTGGGGCGGCACCGAGCACGCGTGGGGTTCGGCCGTGGTGGTGGCGCTGCTCGTCGTCTTCGGCGTCCTCATCACCGTCTGGGTTTACGTGCAGTACCGCCAGGGAGACCGCGCGACCGTTCCGCCGCGCATCATCGGCCAGCGCACCGTTTGGTCGGGCTCGCTGTACTCCTTCTGCATCAGCGGCGCCTTCCTGGCCGTCATCTACTTCATCCCCATCTGGTTCCAGTCTGTCAAGGGCGCCACGGCCGTCGAGTCGGGCATCATGAACCTCCCCATGCTGCTGGCCGTCGTCGTCATGTCCGTCGTCGCGGGCGCTGCCGTCACCTTCTGGGGCTACTACTCCCCCTTCATGCTGCTCGGCACCCTCCTCACCTCGGTCGGCTTCGGCCTCATCTCGACCTGGGGCCCCGACACGGACCGCCCCGTCTGGATCGGCTACCAGGTCCTGGCCGGCGCTGGCGTGGGGCTGGGCATGCAGCAGCCGCTCATGGCGGTCCAGGCGGTGCTGCCCATCGAGGACGTGCCCACCGGCACGTCGGTCGTCGTGTTCCTGCAGACCCTCGGCGGCGCACTCTTCGTGTCCATCGGCCACAACGTCTTCACCAACCGCCTGGTCGAGAACCTGTCCGTCCTCTTCCCGGGCGTCGACGTCGCCGCCGTCCTCAAGTCGGGCGCCACTGGCCTCGCGAACTCCCTGACCCCCGAGATGGTGCCCGTCGTGCTGGCCGCCTACAGCGCCGCCCTGACAAAGGTCTTCCTGGTCGCTGCCGCGCTGTCGGCCCTCAGCATCATCGGCAGCGCCTTCGTCGAGTGGGAGAGCGTCAAGGGCAAGGACGTGGAGATGGCCATGGCTTAAGCAAGTGCATTCCTTTGGCGGCAGATACAATGCGGAGTCGCCAGGTCGTCTTTCCTTTGGTCCGCTGGATATGTCGAATTATTGCGAATCGAGGAGAAATACCACAAATCTCCTTCAGTCTACTTCACCAGGTACCAGGTACCCAGGGAGAGGGCTATGAACTCGAGGACGAAGGGCGAGCATCCAGAGAATAGAAAATCGGGCGGCCAGTCACCATTCGACAGACCAACCCATGAGATACAGGACACGAGAATGGGATATTCCATACCGCATCCCCATTCTCTCGCTAGAATGATACCTCGATGGCACCGCAGAGGAGTGTCTCATTGCAAATGCACGGTGGCCTGGTAGATTGGTGCAGGACAGAAAATGCATTTGACCGCGAGAAAAAAAAATCAGAACAGAGAAAGAGACACATAAAAACGGGGGCCAAGGCAAGTCAAGCTTTTCATAGGCCTTTCTGGCCTGCTCGTACATGGTAGTGGATGACGCTGGTCAGGTGCCATCCATCTCCATGCCTGTCAGGACTCGGGAGTTTCTATGATGCCGAGCGATAGCCAGCTTCTCTGCCATCAAGAAGGATATAGCCATCCAACGCCTATTCGGCATCGGTCCTCTGTGGGCGCTGTTCCCTCCACAGGTAAAGCACGCAGTCTTTTCCCCCGCCAGTCTCCTTCCAGGCTCTTCTCTGCAGCGAGCCAGATCCCTTTCTTTCCACCGGCGCCATGAATCCCCTAGCCGCTCACTCCGCCCTGTCTGTCACAGCAGTGGCCGTATCCGTAATCCGCTGTATACTTTGCTCCCTCCACCTCGACCCGTATAGAATCTGCAAGCCCTGTTTGTGATGTATCCACCCCGGACAGAACAAAAACCAAAGCTGACAACAGCCGACCCAAGGCGTTTTCTTTCTGCGCCCATCTTCTTCTAGCTGGACATAATGGTTGGCGCCTGCCCAAGCGCGGCTGTCGAGGTCGCTGGATCATGTCCTGGACATTAGGTCGTGCATGAAGGTCCTGACTAGCCCACCTCCGCCTCCAAGTCGCGTCTGGGCTGCCCGCAGTGCAGCAGTCGTAACACTAAGTTCCACCTCTCTGATCGCCCCCTTGGTGTGGCAAGGTCTATAAGAGAGCAGGCGCTTGAGCAGCTCTGGTGTTAGGTAGTTGTATTGATCGGGCTCGGGGTGGGACTGCGTCTTGACCGTCGGCGCCCTTGGTCAGGTTGCTTGCTTCCGCCGAATGGCGGATCTTCGCAAAACTGGTGTAGAATTCGAGCACAGCCAAGCAGCTAGCTAGCATTACTGATATAATTGTATACGGCCATAGGTCTCCTGGTCAGCGAGCCAAAGTCAGAACAGGGGGTCAGGGCTCTCGTTATTACCACACACAATGCTATACCTCCTCCTGCGACCGAGGAACGCACTCGAGGCGTCAGACCCATGGCCTGGGCTGGATTTCCGTCAGGTCTTGTTCTCGGTGGCTTTCTGTCGAGGAAAGTAGTGGGTGGTGCTTCTTCATCGGCCCGATTCCCATCGCCGCCACCATATTCATGTTAGCTCTATCCATAGAGCTTCCCGTCCGGAGAGGCAAGATACAACAAAGCGATCGGGGCGGGAATACACTTGCCCGGGATCTGTAACACCCTCTTGTCAACTGCCTAGTCCTCGCCGCCCTGGTGCTCGTTGACCCCAGCGCGGGCGCCTAGCTCTCTCGCCCTAGAGCCCCCTGTGTTTGTCAGTCAACGTAACGGGTATGACGCTGCGCTTCCTCTAGAGTGCTGTCGAGATGAAATGCGCCCAGTGCTTTTCCTTGTAGTCCCAGACAGTCATCAGGGCCGAGCCGTATCCGAAGTGTCCAAGGTCTGTCTTCCGTCCAGGTTCGCATGCGCCCCTCTGTCGGGGCCCGCGACGGGGGCTGCGACTGGTCAACACGAAGCTCCTCGTACCTTCGCGCTCTTCTTAATGCTGGCCGTTGCCTCGGTCCTCGTGACTCTCGAGTCGTTCTGTGTGCTGTCGTGGTTGGAGTTGGCCCATGTCAGCGTCTCTACCGCGCCCACAGGAGTCTGCATAGCAGTGAATGATTACTGTACAGGGAGGTTTCGGTGTCGTGCCACCGTCCATGTCTACCTACCTAGGTGGCACTTACCGGTAGTCCAACATTAGGGGCCGGTCAAAAAAGGAAGGAGCTGTAGCGGGGCACTGAGTCGCCTAGTCAGCACTTCCCTAGGGCAGGCAGAACGCCAGCCAGGTGAATAGCACAGGGCGGGAAAAAAACGTAAACAAAGCGGAATAGCTCTAGGCTTGCCATTCCCCACCTAGCCAGCACCGCATCGAAAGCCTGGTGGCAGCCCGCCGAACCCTCCAGAATATCATCATTTCCGCGTTGAAGCCTGTTGTCTTCCACTCCGCGAGAGAAGCCTAACATTTACGCATCCCTATATGATCACCCCGGAGCTAATAGAGCAGATCCGAAGCCAGCAGTAGCAGCAACCCATCTTCTCGACGTGACCACGGGGCAGTTATGGGGAAGAATAACCCGTTCCGGATACTGTCGACGGGCATCGCCCTTGCCTTCGACAGCCAGAATGCCACTCTCAAACATTTACAGTACAAGAATATCCCTCCTTATGTCGGCCTGTATGAGGCCAAGAGCATCCCGGGCAAGGACAGGAGCCCCCTTTGCCGCCAGCATCCAGCCTAGGTCACCATACTTTTGTCGAGAAGGCACTTGTTTCCACCTCCATCCTCAAATTTGCAGACACTATCCTAGAGAGCCCGGCCGGATCACAACCCGCAGGGCCGTGCGGCCGACACTGGCGCATTTCCGTTCATGCCACCGCTTCCAGCAAGATACCGCGTCCAAGATTAACGAGAGCCCCGGCGGGGACAGGAATGATACAGGAGCCTTTGTTGGCTGCGATGTATATGGGTGCCAGTCGAGCCACCTCTGTCGGCGCAACATACACTATGGGTATACCGACCAACCGGACGATTAGATGGCATCGAGATGCACGCAAACAAACTGATAATCATGAGGGGGAAGACACGACGGTTTGTTATACACCCCTACAGTATCCATGGAGCGGGGCGAAGCATCCAGGAAGGCTTCAGGGCTCGATATAGGTGCGAGCTATGCTCCCGCGCCATCCAAGAACGTGCCAGTAGCGACGGTCCACGGATTGTGTGGCACACGTGGGTGCTGACCGAGTGGGAAACGGCAACAAGGCGATGACAAGGGGCGGATCGAGCGCGCTGGGCGAGACCTAGCGATCCATGGAGATCCCTGATCATGACCCGCGACGTGATACAGCCCGACGAAGAGATGGGCACGGATGGAATGGGACTGGCCTTAGAACAACGGGCCGTATGACTTGGTCATGGATGTGTCATTTGTGGCCTGAATGTCTCCTCTGTCTAACTTCCGCTCCAAGACCAGATACAATGCAGCGATATCTCTTCCCTCGCCCTCAGCGCAGCTTGACACACCTTATAATGGCAAGCGTGTCTGGCGTGGCACAAGAGACCCCGGCGATATCGAGGGTCACGCATCATGCCAATACGACAAGGGTGTGCAGCGATGTTCTGCCTTTCCCTTTCGCTCACGCATCTTTACAGACTTCCCCGGCATAGTCCTTCATCCGACTTTTGGCTGATAGGCAAGGCGCAGAAAGATGCGAATGCGGGATTTTACGTCCTGTACTATTCGGCACTAGTCCCAGGAGAAGTGAAGTCGCCCAAGCCCAACGTTTCCGGGGGATTGAGCAGTCGTAGCTACCTGGGTAGCCATAATAGGACAGAATGCCTTGTCCAGCAACAATAAGGAAGCTGGGCCTGGTTGCAGGCAGTCACCACCGCCCCCAAGCACCTTCCCAAGCCAAGTGCCCAGCTAAATCCCTACAGCGTCTCGTTGTGTCGGCAGTCGTTCTTCTGATATAGCCATCATTAATAAACCTCATAAAGCTCCAAGCACCCAATACGTTCCCTACCTACCTACCTACCTACCTATCACCTATTACCTATTCCTATTGCCTATTACCTATTACCTATCTACAGCACGGCTGCAACGGCAAAGAGAGTCGACCGAAAGTGAGCACATCCACGCTGGCATGTAGTCCACCTAGCCCCGACTCCAGCTCCCCTACGCGACAGGCTCCAGGGCCCAAGGCGCTAACATCCTCGCGGAACATATGCACAAAATGGCCGCTTCCCGCTCCGGCCACGGCTCAGGCTCAGGCGGCAACAAGCTCGTAATCTCCAAGGAAGGCGAATTTGGTGCCAAGGTAGCTGCCACGTCCATCCACTCGCTTGGGATCATCGCTACGGGCCTCGTTTCCAGACGTGGGCCACTTTTGCAAACGGCCGTTACTGACTTCGGAACTGCCGCCACGTGCTCAAGATAAATCGTAATTTCATGGACGCCATGCTCGAGGAAGCCTTGGACATAGCCGCGACTTGGCCGAACGCGACGGTCAAGCCCAAGGGCCCAAGCAAGGAGGAGACCAAAGACAAAAAGGAGGAGGAAGGAAAGAACGAGGAGACAGAGAAGACTGTGGCCAAGGAGGAGGTAATGAAGAAATCGAAAACAGAGCTGAGAAGGGAGAGGAGGGCGAGGCGGGCGGCAAGGAGGGGAAATAAGACCATATTCTGGTCCTTGTAACGGAGGACAAATGAGGCCTATCCAGATGGCGAGTTGTGGCAATGTCGCCATCAGAACTGAGGTCTTCAAGGGGTGAGGCCAGGCCTGGCGAAAATACCAGAGAGCATGGCTGCCTAGGGACGCAGAAGCCGCACCAAGCTGTCGCCTCAAGTGTACGAGAGAATACAAGGATATCTCAGACATCCTTGCTATGCTGCCCTCGTTACATCGGACAGCTCGGAACTAACGGCGCAGCCAACGCCCAACAGCCTCGATAGCGGTGCCCAAGGATAAACAACGTCACATACTGCCCTGGCCGGAGGGAGGAAAGAATGAGGTGTGATTTGCGCCTTAGAGGCCCTGAGGAACATATGCTGCATCTCCAGGCTCAGCCTACGGCACGCAGTGACAGTTCCCGACCAAGTGGCTTGTAACACCACTAAGTACACCGTTTTCACCCGCCGCCCCGTCTGCCCACAGCTTTTGCTCTTTCTTCCCGATACCTCTCCATCCTCTTGTCAGCATCATCCGAATTCCCACACCAGACAAGGCTCCAATCCTCGGCCCGGTACTTGCTCTCCATCTGCTTTCTCTGCTCCCGCTCCGCCTCGCTTGTTCCTGACACGTCGAGGCTTCGCAGCTTACTCGCAATACCATCTTCGTGGTTTTCCTCTTCCTGCACAGCAGGCCTGACATACAGCGAATCCCAACGGTAGACGTCCAAGTGAAGTTGACGGGAGGCCAGGAACAAGCCGACATTCCTGCGCTTGCAGATGTAGGCAATGTCGATGGGACGCTTGCAGTGGCGATCGGCGCGGTCCAGCCTGGCCCCCGGCAGCCCTTCGACGGCCATCATGACGTCAATGCAGTCAAGAGTCGCCGCCCAGTGGGCCAGGTCGCGATCTTCAAAGTCCCGCTGGGTTGCATCCACCCGCCCGCTGTCGATGAGCAGCACGAGTACGTCCTTGAAGCCGGCGTCGGCGGCTACGTGTGCCGGGGTCCTGCCGCCCCTGTCTTTCAAAGTCGCGCTCGCCCCGGCGCCCAGGAGGGCCCGGCAGGCAGCAAGATTACCCAATTTTGCGGCGTGGTGCAGCGGCGCGCGCCCCGAGTGGTCGACCTGATCCGGGCCGAGGTGCGCTTCCGCCGCGCCCGACTTGCCATCTTTGGAAACATGCCGTAGGCACATCTCGATAACATCGCTCCAGTCATTGCAGGCTGCGTGATGTAGGATGCCCATGCCGGCAAGATCCAAATGGAGGCCCAGGGTGCCTGGGCTTGCAGCCTTGATGAGTTTAACTGTGAGACCTTTGCCAGCCGACTTGGATGCGGCTACAAGTGGGCTCAGCTAGTCCCTTTCAGGCACTGGGAGTGCCTTTGAACTTTCGATAAGTGCCAACGCAGCTTGTGATTTGCCCCAATAGGTCGCAATTGTGAGGGCTGTCCTGCCTTGTCGGTCCGCCATGTGGATGTCGACACGGCCGGAAGAGATGAGGGCCTTGATAACGTCTAGGTTGCCATAGGAGGCGGCGAGGTGCAATGGCGTGATCCCCTCGCTATCTTGGGGGTTCGCATCTGCTGTTACTGCCAGGATAGCCTGGATTCTGTCCAGAGCTTGGGGACTAGATTTAACTGAAGCCAGCACCACAAGCTCGTGGAAAATAGTAGAGAGGCTAAACCCTCACGTTTGTTCGAGAATGAGATTTGCCATGGAGTGACCGATGAGCCTATCGAACAAGCCCCAGCACCCCTCTAACGCAGCCTCAATGACGATTGGTGTCCTATACCACACATTGGGGTCGTTGGGGTTGTGTATCGAAAGGTTGGCTCCAAGCTCGACGAGTAGAAGTGCCGCAGGCTCCAAAGATTTCCTGCAGCAGTCGTGGGCTCCATGGCCCCCATTTCTCATCGATACCATAGCCGCGGGATGCAAACCGACGAATAAGAACGAGAATTGATTGCAAGTCCATCACCTGCAAGATCTTCTGGAGCGGACTGGAACGACCACCGATGCCATCGTAAAAGCCTCCTTTTCCAGCTGTTTCGGAAAACATAAGCCAGAGGGGATCCTTCAATGGCAATGCTTGGAGATGCGACAACACCCGCGATTGCGCATGGTGAAGGAATGGGTACTCTTTTTGGAGCTCTGGTCGCGAGTTTCTCAATTAGTGGGCGCAACTTTGCCAGGAATATCAACGATCGTTCCATAGAAGTAGAGGATGTACTTACGCCACTGCTTCAGACGGCCGAGCGCCGACAACATGTCTTGCAGCTTCAAGTATGTGAGGCATGCCCGTGACATAAGCCTACGGCCAGAGTCTAGAACCCGACTATATTTTGTGCTGCTCGCGAGGTGTTCCTTGAAAGAGATATGGATAAATCCAATGGTGTTGTCTGGGTGGACGGTTAAAAGCTCTGGGAAGTGCTTCTCAACAACCCCTCCAAGGTTATCGAATACATGGAATTCTAAAGATGACTTAATCCGCCGAGTGCTGCGCCCCATCCCAAAAATTATCCCAAGCTGGATTTCGGAGAGGAGGTGATGAGCGATAGCTATAACAAAAAAGATTGTCAGGGCATCGTCGATCATGCCATTGTCGATCCAAGCGATGATGTTATCGTAAAATGCCGGCAGTGCGGGGCCAGCCGAAATTAGATTCTTCAGCTTCGTTTCAACGACCTCTTCATTCCAGAGCAGGCCCTTGCGGAAGTCCTCGCATGCAACCACGCCCGCCAAGAACATGCCGTTGGCTGCTTCGGCAATCCTCTCGCAAATCCTTCCCCGCAAGCCGTCGGCTCCTGATAGCGTTCGCCTAAATGGATTGTTTTCCTCGGCAAGATCATCGATCCCACTCTCGAGGTAGATGTGTATCTTCTTTTCCAATCTCCATCGCGAGGGCTGAAGAACTTGGAGTCCAGATGGGACCAGAGCCGTGTAATTTGGGGTCATCCGGCGAGTAGAGATGAAAGCTATGAAGCGGCTTCCAGATTGCGCCTGCTGAATGGGCGAGTCATCTTCGTTCGTAGCAAATGACCGTAGGGACAGATAAACAAGGAGCGCCTTGAAAACAATGCCGCCGAGGCTGTGGCAGACAAAGATCAGAGGCCGTTCTCTCTCTTCAGGGTCGGATCGCGAGTGTTCGAGTCGGAGGGCCAGGTCGGCGACGTAATCGCGGATGGTCGCCCGCGAGCTGGAAAGAAAACGGCCGAATCGTAGCCGAAGGTCATGATGCGCGTCCCTGGCACATATGCAGGGAGCGAGTCCCGCAGCCACAGATGCCCGTCCTTGTCGGTCCGTGTTCTGTGCGGCTTGCCGTTGAGGCTGTGGATGGCGACGATGCTGTCGGCGAGGTCAGCAGGTCTCGCACGGTGTCTTGTGGCCGGGGCCTCTTACTCGGCGCGGTAGTCCGCTGGGTTGTACGGCCGACCTGGCCGGGGAAACAGGCGGAAGAGCCCAGTCGCTTCGCGGCCCTCCGCCATGGCGCAAATAGGGAAGCCGCCGGGAGGGAGTAGGCTGGGGGCAAGGTCTACCTAGGCGGATGGCAGAGGGAAAATGACGATGGGAAGCTCGACGCTGACCACCGGTGGTGCAGGCGGGAAGAGGGGTTGCCCAACATCACGGCGTTACCGACAGACCTGGTAGGCCGATTAGTTAGCTGCAAGCAAATTCCATGACGGGGTATAAGGACATATGAGAGCGGCTGAAAAGGCCAGGCTCTCGCGGCTCCAACCTAATGCAGCCTGCACCTCGGCCCTCTATCCACATCCCCAGCTCTCTACCGGGTCGGTATATACTACGGACCTAGGTAGGTATGTAGCCGGGTCAAGGTCTAGCCACCCCTAACCAAGCGCGGGTCTTCATCCAGCAACGACCGTCGCACAGGCTCCTACGGAGGAGGGTATCTCGATCTGGAACAGGCACATCCTGCACGCCCTGCCGGCAGTAACGAGCGTTAACCGTGACTAGCGCGCTTTGCGCTAGAGCAAGACGCCCCTGGAGTGCATGCACGGGCTTCCCAGCCTAGCGCGCATTCACCATTGTCCCAAAAGTTTTACGGACCTCGACCGCGGCCACAACCGTCATGCCACCAGCGACCTGTACCATTGGCCTGTGCTGCGAAGGGTGGGAGACCCTCAGTAGGGCTGCTGAGCACTCGTCGCGTCGGCCTCGGCGGGTGGGCATTGAGGGTTGTTGGCTACCTAGCACAGGGATCATGATTGCCGACCTTCCCGTACATCCCTAGTGGTGACATAGTCCGTTGCGGCAGCCTTTGGTCACGCTGTCTTCTCCAGTGGCCCCAATGGCACTAGGTCGAGGCCCTGCAAGACGCAGCCACGCAGGATATTAGCTTTTAGCATGCCAGACCTGATGCAGGATAACCCCCCAATCAGATATACGGGCGGAGGAGGTATCCTGGTGACCTACTCCGTAAGCCCCATAACGATGCGTTTCCACCAAGACCAATTTCCGCAGCCTGGCCTGGTGGATACAACAACGCCCAGTTTGTATGAGCTGGCGACACACTGCAGAAAATGGGCGGCTTACTGCGTGCCCGGAAGAGGAAAGTGTGGTAGCACAAGAGGCCGCAGATGAGGGGTGGGCGTTTCTTGCACGCCAGCCGACAGATGCCAAGGAATACCCTCGGCCGTTTACTGGTCGCCCGAGTGCTGTTTTCTAGCTAAGCGCCCCTCGCAGTCTGGATCTGCATTTTTCTGCAATGCATTTGTTTTCAGTGCGCCTATGAGCAGCAGCGCTCCCGGGCGATGCAAGTCGGGGCGTAGGCATCGCCAGCGCATGTGTGCCCGACATGGCATTCAGATTGCCCAACAACAGCCACCTCCAGGTGTGTACCATGCAGCATCGAGCACAATGTAGATAAAAAGGGCGGACGGGGGACCCCATGTCATGGAGAGGCTCGACATGAGGCTACCCCTTTTTTCCACTTCCCTTCTTCGCATCTACAGCGTGCCGCAGCCAAGGCCACTTCGGCGCCCCACACCCGCAAATCCGCCTCGTCGATTCCCTGCTCTCGGAAGGGGCTAAGCCATGTCCACCGACGTTTACTGGACCACCCGCAAGTATCGCCTCCTGAAAGAAAGGGCCGAAGAATACCTTACGGAGAGATTGGGCAAGCCTATTGTTCTGGAGGTAGGTCCCTTTGTTGGCACCAAGCTGCCTCGGTACCTGTAACTAGGTACCTAACCGTGTGTCGAGAGGCTGAGGCGATGAATCCCAGAAGAGGAACAAGGCGGAAAGTGGGAAGAAAGCAAATATGAGCTTTGGGGAGTAACGGAGAACAGGGAAGAAATAGAAGAACACGGAACCTGCGGAGTGTCACTGCTGACAGTAGGTGCACGACAGCCGACGGAGAACGAAATGTTTTACGCCCTGATCCCTAGAGATCTCACCAAGGTAAGCATGGAATTTTTATGCTGTTAGCGGAAAAATACCGACGAGCTAACACCTTGGAACGAAAGGAAGAGCTGAAGCACATTAATACCAAGCTGCGTTGGAAGCGGCCGCCCGGCTGAACGTTCATGTCTTCAGCAAAAAAATTCTTATGCCCTCCATGATTCGACAGCAATGAAAAAGGATGGATAAGGTTCTCATTTTTTTTCTTTTCGCTTCCAAACGTTTGTCCTTCAGCACGCCTCTGGATCTTTGTCTAGGCGGAGAGCTCGCGTCCATTTGGAGCTTTTTCTCCTTCTTGCCGCGCTTTTACCCCAGACGCCTCGCTAGGCTGGACGGATTTCCCTGGTCAGCCGGTGGGAACTGCCCAACAGGCAGGCCTATTTCCCTTTCGCCAGCGCGTGGCACCATGGCGTCGTAACGTGGCAGGCATTGGCTTATATCACGCTTGAATGATTATCCGGAAGGATTGGCGTTTCTAGCAAGCACGAGATGCAAAATAATGCCTTGTCGTATTCCTTACCTTGACCGCCCTCCGCCCCCACGTGCCGTGACGCCCGAGACAACTAAAGGCCCTCTGCTGCGGACATTGGACCTCGGTGAGCTCCCGCTGCATATTGTCGCAGGTTCGAAACGCTTGAGCGACAATCTCAAGGTGGGAGGAATAATTCAGACCGGGCATGAGGAGGGAGCAAGACGGCAAGCGCCTTGGAGGGGAGGACAAAGGATGATGCACACAGGGCGCTGGCCGGCCCCTGTTTTGGCCACTTTAGGGCGCCTACCTAGCTTGGAGTTGAGGGCTGTGCCAGGATCGATGGATGTTAAAACGTCGAGGGGAGCCAAAAGCCGCTGTCTTGCCATCGATGCCTGCTCGGGAGCAGCTTCCAGAATCTCCATATTTTACAATTTTAGGAAAGAACGTTCCAACCACACTGAGAATAAGCTAGTGTCCCGCTGTCCACCTAGTCCGGACCCGAAAACATCAACAATGGCTCCATCGCAATCGACAGCGGTGTCTGGTTGCTTCAAAGGTTACCCGCAGAACATGCCCCGGGGCCGGGACTCCCGCCATGCCCTTTCCGAGCTATCCACGCAACTGGAAAACAACGAGGACGATCTCTTCGATCCGGACTCCGGACGCGAGTGGGGCTTTTTAGAAGTCTATGATAATGATGGTATGTCATCTTCCCCCGAGCAGCCCGCCACTCCAAATACTAACATCGTAACTAGGCTACGAGGATGCTGAGTGTAAGGATCGCCAGGAGCTGGAGGCGCATCTGTCCAGGCGGGGCACAGACCCGCGGTGTCGGCTGGTGTGAGTGTCTAGTTCCACGCTAGCAGCCCTCCATGACAGCCCCACACTGGAAGAGGGCGCTCCGCTAGAACGAGGTGCTAATTGAGTTTGGCATTTTCGGAGCAGCTTCATTCAGTCCGAGCACTCGGCCGCGGCGCTCGACGGATCCAAGGACATGATGAAATATCTACTGTGGCACCATGAGGTCATGCCCAGCTTCCTACGGCTGCTTGCCAACTGGGCCATCCCGCCCGTCGACCCCTCGGACCCGCACTGCTTCCACAAGGCCGCCTTCCACCACGAGAATGTCCTGACCCACGACGGTGCCAAGACCTATCGGACCGCCATGGGCCGTTCAGGGCTCCAGATTCGGCATTGCTATAGCATCTGGGGCACCGAGAAGGACGAGGAAGGCATCTGGCGGATCCGCCAGACCACGCTGTACCACTCCCTCGATGTCGTCACTGGGAAGGCCCTTTGGGTCAATGTCAAAACGAACGAGATAATGAAGAAGAGGATGAGCGCCGTCGCCAGGGAGGAGCCCTCGCCCGAAGCCAGCAGCTCCGCAAGGGAAAAGTCCATCGTCGCCCTGGCCAACTCGTTGGAGATGCATGCTCTTGCTGCCGAGTGGTGCAGCCAAGACTGGGGTGTCTGCATCCAGTCGGTGGAGAAAGAGCTGCGGGCAATTCTGGACAAGCTTAAGAACTTGCCCGTGACCGAGGTGGAGCGCTGTTTGGAGGTCGACGCGGGTGCGTTGATTCAAGACTTCGAGCCCACGACAAGGGTCAGGCGCCAAGCCAGCAGCTTCTACAGCACCCGCCCGAGCGGGCATCACCCATTGGCCGCGGATGCCCGCTCCCCGACCTGGATACCTCTAAGCCCCCTGGGGCCGAGGGGGCAGCCAAAGACCCAGAGTGCAGCACCCACTCCCAAGGCTCCGGACCCGTTCCGGGTCATCAGGGAGTTCAACTTCAAGGGGCTGCAGAGGCTGGAGACTCTAGCGACCAAGCTTCAGCAGTTCAGTCACACGATGCAGCTGAACTGCCGCATCATGTCGCAGCTGGATGCGTACTACACGTCGCTAAAAAGCGATCGTGGATTTCCCGCGCACATCAAGCGTGCCTGCAGCCATCATCTAGACGAGTTCCACCAGCGGCTACAGGCGTGCATCCGAGCGATGGAGCTGGAGCGTGAGCGGGTTGCCAACCTCTTGGTGGTTGCAGAAGATGGGAAGCGATTGGTGAGCGTTCAATACCCCCTCCTCCCTCCAGTCTCCCTCTCAGAGGGACTGCCACCACAGCACGCACGCCAACTGCCCGCCTTACTGACTCTTTCTGTCTCCACCCCAGTACGATGTCGTGATGCAGCTGCGCTACATGGAAACCAGTAAGCTCTTTGCCGTGGCTGCACATCAAATGACGCGCGAGATGCAGGTCGTTGGCGAGAAGACGAAACGCGAAACCACATCAATGCATATCATCACGGCCGTCACGCTCTTCTTCCTCCCCGGCACGTTTGTCGCAGTAAGCAGCCTCTTCGTCTGCGGGCTCCCACGCGCTTCGCGCCTGCTAATGCTGGAGCCGCAGACGTTCCTCGGCAGTGGCATGTTCCAGTGGGACCAGGATGACAAGAACATGCAGTTCCCGAGCTGGCGCCCCGAGTATTTTAAGCTGTTTGTCTACATATCAGTCACCATGATGGTCTTGATCCTGGCAGTATGGCTGGGATTATACCTGCGCACGAGGCGGACCCGAATTGGCGGCCGCAACCACAAAGCAGGCAGTGTCTGAAGGCTTTCCTCCCGGGCGTGGAAGAGCCAAGTTCTCCTAGCCATCCAGCTGGCGGAAGGGCTGGGGCTGAGGGGTGGTGTGGGTAGTCAAGTGCGGTAGCACAGCGGGGAAGGGGGAAACGGCAAGGCTTTCACCAATGTGATCACTCGCAGCGCTATCGAACATGTTCCATCAAGCCACCTTCCATCCATTACCCACTCACCGCATGTTTAAGAAGAAGGTGTCCAGGCAGCAGCCATCTTTAGTGGCCGAGGGAAGTCTGCCTGCTGGCTGCCTGCATGCGACCCAAGCCTCGGGGCGCACTTTAGGTACAGTTTAGGGGTCCCCTCCTTTTTGAGAGACGAACTCAACTACGGCAATACCTTAGAAGCTGTGTATCTAGACAGAGAAAGCTTTGTGCCCGAACCTCGACCCGGCATCAGAAACCCGTTCATAAAGCAGACCTGCCGTCTCCCTCACGTCGCGTGCCTTGGATTTAGCGCGGTTCGGCCACTCGTTGTTTCTACAAATACGCCACCCAGCCCTCCTGGCCCAGCTCACCCTCGTTTACTGCAAGCCAGGCAGCGATCAACTCCTCGGAGATTCGGCGAGAATTTGTGCACTGTTTCCCAGCACATAACCTCCCCCAGCTACAAAGTACCGTACACGAAGCAGACCATCAACTTATTGCATTAAACTCAAATCCATTCCCAAACAACCCAATTCTTTTCTTGTCGCCACCGCCAAAAGGTGCCGATCCTCCATTCCAGGCGCCCATTCCGAGCCGAAAACCCGGCCACTCATTTTCCATTTCTCCTCGGCGCAATTTATAATGCCTCGCCAACTCCTTTCCGATTTTTGTGACGAGTTCCGCGAGTGGGTTGACAAGAACAAACTCCAAGGAACGTGCCTCGGCGATCCGACCCAACCCGTGCCCCGATACTTTGTTCCACCGGAGGCGTTGGAGGAGTACTGGACCGGCGACGACAACAACAAACTCAGCCGCCTGCTAGTGGACGCCCTAGACCTCAATGTCCTGTTGGACAACGTGCGAGAGAGGCTTCTTTGCACCTTGTCCACGTTGCTGTACATCTCCGACAAGTCCTGCTCCCGGGTCCGCAATATCGAGCACATCCACAGGGACCTTGAGACTGGCATTTCGGACAAGAGCCTCCCCGTGGACCGTGATGGCCGCCTTAGGACTGCATTCCCGAACGATCCCGATACAGCCGATCGATTCTACCACGAGCAGTTCTTGTTCTGTCCAGTAGTACCTACTACTTGGGATACCAATCTTTCGCCCAACGCAGTGTTACCCCTCCAATTCGACCAGTCCTTGCAAAAGGGGGATGATGACTCCACACCGACACTCGCAAAATACAGGCCTCATTCGGGGTTTGAACTCCAGGTGCGTATCTACATATCCAACGTCGACGCTGCAACTCCTGAGCCAGGCTCTGAACATCCCAGTCACGAGTCGCAAGCTAATATGGAACCAATGACCTTACTATCATTTCCAGGACAAGTTATACGTGCTGAAGCAGTTCCCGCCGGAGGAATTAGGAGAAAGTTACACGGCCGAGCGCAACATGTATCGCCGTCTGGGCCAGTACAACGAATGTTCCAATGACAACCCGGCGCAATATTTCCTGAAGTGCCCTATGGCCTTCCGGCAGAACGGACGAGCCGCTCTCCTCCTTGAGTACGCGGACGGTGGGAGCCTTGAGGATATGTTCCACCGCAACAACAGACCCTTTACACGCCAGGGGGTGTTGGATATGTGGGACGAGCTCGTCAAACTGTTCAGAGCCTTGCACTCCCTGCACCAAATAAACACGTACACTAAACCAGCAGCATTCACATATCTTCACCAAGATATCAAGCCGGGAAACATACTGGTCTTCTGGGACCCTGGCGACTACAACTCGCCGGCTCGGGGCGAGTACGGAACGACGAAGTGCTGCTTCAAGCTTGCCGACTTTGGCCAGAGCTGCGAGGTCAAGGATCCGCTAAACCGAGCGGCACCGTACAACCCCGGCAACCGGACCTACAGCGCCCCCGCGCACTTCGCGCACGACAAGCATGTGGGAAGCACAGGCCGGCCGGCAAGCAAGGAGACAGACATCTGGTCTCTAGTCTGCGTCTTATTTGAGACGGCCGTATGGATTACAGGTGGCGAGGCCGCTAGGCTCGCCTTCCAGCGCGCGCGCGTCCAAGAGAACAAGGCGAACAATCCGGGCCTTGTGGCCGGGGGTTACGAAGATTCCTTCCACAACGGCCTAGTGCGGCTCAAGGCACTCGAAGATGCTAGGATGCAAATCGAAGAAAGCTCGATGAAGTGTGACGATATCACTATCGATATTGTCGACCACCTCCTGGACAACATCCTCCGAGAGCCATCATGCATGCCTCCAGCAGACTACACCTCGAACAAAATCCAGCTTATCATCAACAAGCACAGACACTGCACCAAGGGAACAGCGGCGCCCGTCACGCCTTTGACGCCAAACAACAGAAGCTGTCCCACTATGTCGCCGCCCGGTGCCACCGGCTTGAGTGATAGCCCCGAATTGATCTCAGGATCTAGGTCCAGTGTTCTTCAGCCTGCCTGGCGAAATGGGCAGCAGACCAGGCACAGCACCATGCAGCTCCAGACATCTATGTCCCCTCTATACCCCGACCATCATCCCACACCGAATTCCACGCGCTCCGATCCGGACTCTGCTGCTAGAGAACACCTGCTGAACCAGGGCCCTGCCATTTCGATCCCACCCTCACCATCGCCCACCAACACGGCGCTAGGCTACGGCTCGACAGACAGTACCGCGTGGAATGGCCAGGCGGGCCATCGCGGCTACACGCAACCAGGTGGTTCAGCACCAGGGCCCCCATCACCGCTGTACTTGTCACCCCCGCCGCACCCCTCAGCGGCAAGCCCATGGGCACCTCAACGCTCGTGGAGTCCGCAGCCGCTAAAGCACCCACATGTGACCATCGAAACGGTGTGCGCCTACCGAAAAAATAAGAAAAGGGAGGACAAGAATATCCAGTCACTGATCGAGGAGGTCAAGGGCCACTTCCAGGGAAGAGACCAGGTCAGTTTAACTCACCGTTTGCGCTGCTGGAGACATATTCTGTGCCCTGATGCCTTTCCACGCAAGGGCCCGCCCACTGACAGCATTCCTAGGTCATCCTCATCGACGACCACCCCTCAATGATAATGCTCAAAAATGAGTTGAGAAAGACGTGTGAAGCCTTGGCCGCGATAGTCAAGGGAGTCGACTCGGACGGCATCGAGGTCCGGTTCGCGTCAAGGCCGTCGGAGGGGTACGTCAATGTCAAGAGCGCCACCGACATGCTCGACGTGTTTGACAAACACTTCGGCGCCGGAAACACGGGGAGCCATTCGATGATGGCCAAGGCCATGTTGTGCATCCTCCAAGACGAGGCGAGTAGCACGGCTCAACGAGAAAGGAGTCGAACGATGCAGTCAACCTTGAACCGTCGCCAAAGCACGAGAAGATCATTTGCCTCTCGCGCGGCGACCAGCATCGGCTTGGCTCCGAGCCCAAGATTTGGACCTCCATCCCCCGTTTCCTCCGCCTCATCCCCCTCGCAATCCAGCGGCACCACCATCTACGTGCTGACCGACGGAGTCTGGGGCGTGGAGGAGCCCCAGCCGGACGACAGGACGCTCGGGGTCGCGGAACACATCCGGGACTTCATCCGGCGGCAGCAGGATCTGGGACTGGCCAGGAACAGGGTGGTCATCCAGCTGGTCAACGTCGGGAACGACGCGGTCGGCACCCAGAGGCTGGAGGATCTGGATGACCGCCTGTGGAGCAACAGCCCCCACCCACAAGCGGACGCCAGCGACGGCGACGCGAGGTACATGCGGTGGGACATTGTCGACACCAAGCCGTCCACGGCCCCGCTGTGGTCCATCCTCGTCGGCGCGATCGACAAGGGCGAGGACGAGAGGCAGTCGCCGGCCGGCGTGGACGACGGGATGCCGCTCGACGCGGGGGCCGGCGCGGCAGGTGGTCCCTTGATCGCTAGGCGTCGAACAACTTTGGGGTCTCGTTAGGTGGCCGGCACCGGAAAAGGCCGGCCAACGATTTGCTTTCAGGGCGAGGGTTCAAGGGTGTTTTAAACAAAGCCATCACTGCAAATGTTATAGCGGCAAACATAGCTCCACTGCGGACGGAACCACGATACATGGGTACGGGCGGTGCCTCCTGGAAAAGTCCTGCTCTATTTAAAGCCGCACAATAAATATGTGAAGTTTTGCCCATGGCCGTGGGCGGCACTGGTTTGGACTGGACCTTAAACCAGCAGCCTCGCGCACTCGCCGTGACTGTGCTTTTCGGCCGTTTCCTTGGGTGTCCTTCCGGCGCCGTTTCTGATCTCCTTGCTGGCTCCCTTGGCCAGGAGCAGCGCAACGCACTCGGCGTTACCCTTGGCCGCTGCTCCGTGCAGTGGCGTGCCCCAATACTCCTCGTCCAGGAACCTATCGTACTCACCACCCGCGGGGACCTCGTTGATCAGCGCCGCGCCAGCGCCGTCCTGCAGCAGGACCTCCAGCACGTCGGCCCGGCCCCCTTCCGCGGACGCGGCCGCCAGCAGGGCGGCGCCCTCCCTGGCGTCGGCGCCCTTCTCCAGCAGCAGGCGGACCAGGTCGGGCGGGGCCTCGGCGGAGCCGCAGGCCGCGCCAAGGGCCGTGGGGAACATGGCGCCCGATTCGTTGCGGTTCGGGTCGGCGCCGTTGCGTAGCAGGAACTCGGCGAGCGGGAACAGGGAATACTTGATGGCCATGATGAGCGCGTCGCCCAGGTGGCCGGTGCTGTGGTTGACGTCCCAGCCGTGCGCGAGCAGGCACTCGAAGGAGGCTAGGTTGAACCCGGTCTCGGGCTTGCAGCTTTGGAGCGCAGCGGAGACGGCGCCTGTTTTGTTTTTTTTGGGTTGATCTTGGTCAGCCATCTATCTACCTTGACCACGTGCGTCTCCCAAGGGAGAGTACTTACCCGAGTATGGCTTGCACCCATGGGCCAAGAGCTCGCCGGCGGCGCCGACGTTTGCATTTCTAAGGGCGGCATCGAGCGCCGGCTGCATATCAAACATGGGGTCGGAGCTTGTGTGGCTGGCTGGCTCTCGGGGGGCGGACTGGAACTCGCTCAAAACGCGCTTAAGGCCGTCGACGTCGTCCGCTTCGGCGAGCTTGACGGCTTCGCGGACGAGATCCTGAACGGTGGGTGCCATAGCTGCAGATGCTCGATTGTTAAGTGTAAGAATTGGTTTTTGTATGGCTGGGAAAGATGGGCTATACTTTGGCACCGTCCGATCAAACGGGAGGCAGGCGGTCTTTTAATCGACGAGAGCTGGCGTAAACACCACAGCTGCGGGGGACCAAGAGGATGATGATAGGCGGGGACTCCCGTAACAAAGGCACGCACCCGGGTGGCTCATCCGGTCGCCAGGGGGCGGGCTTCCTGCTCAAAAGAGTGTGGTCGGCGGCAAAATGGGGCCGAGGCGGTGCACGTCAGCACGCGTGCGCAGCCAATTCCAAAACGGCCCCCTCAGCCGGGCCGCTGGACGGCGTCAAAAGATCTTGCATGCATGCATCTGGCGATTCGATTACTCTCTTTTACGACAGCATCCATGTTATTGGTTTATGGTGCCTTAACCGAACGCGCTGAGATTGTCGGCGCCTGTGGGGGCAGATAGTGGCTTGGGTGGCTTAGGAGCTCAGCTGGGGGCGGTGGTGGATTTGGTGGCGCATTTTAGCCGTGAGGAACTCAAACGCACTAATTGTCACTGCGCACTGTTTCTTCCCGCCCTGGCTCTACCGTCGACTCCAGTGTTAGAAAGACAAATTACACGGCCAAATAACCGGAAAAGGAATAGTTTGCAACCCCACCTCTGCACCAGACCCCACCCGGATAAACCGGTTTCTCACTTGCTACGGTATCTATTTGTCTGGCGGCTCCAGTCCTCAAAGTTCAATAAGCTGCGTTACACGGCAGCTTCAGCTGAAAAAGTAATTGGCGAGACGAGGCTGTGCTTAGCTTACTCAAATCTCGTCTTTTTGTCAGTGGGGTTTGGCCCTGCCATGGTTAAACTCGTAAAGAAAGGCAATTTGTGTGGATTTGGCTTTGAATCGTGGGGAGAGGATATGCTGCGCAAAGAAAGCATCACAGTAAGTGCTAGGAGCACGATAAGATGGAAGATCTCATGGTTAGTTAGGATAGGATAGTATAAAGTCGAGGCGAGACCTCATCGTTCCCATTATCAATAACCCTTTTCTCATCATCCTCACCATCCTCACTATCCAAGCTTCCAACACAGCAACTACACATTCTCATCACTTGCAAAACCTGCCTCCATTTTCCTTACCATTTCCACTCCGTTTCCCTATTTCCAAAATGAAGTTCCACTTTGTCCTCCTTAGCACCAGCATCTCGCTTGCTGCTGCTAGGCCTTTGGGTCAGTCCGCTGGTGTTTCCGCCCAAGGCTTCCCGGCGGCCGAATTTGACCGCCGTGGTTTGTTTGGAAAGTCGACCACGGCCCCCAAGACCGGAAACACCCCGGCAGCACCCAAGACCGGAAACACCCCAGCAGCACCCAAGACCGGAAACACCCCAGCAGCGCCCAAGACCGGAAACACCCCGGCAGCACCCAAGAATGGAGCTCCGCCGAAGGGGGACTCAAAAACCTCCAAGCCCAAGTGCAGGCGCGGCAAGTCGCAGCACGGCGGCAGCAACAACGGCGAGGCCACCGAGTGCGACGCCGCCGCCGCGCCGGCCGTCAAGGTCCCCGTCATGAGCGTGGCCGAGTGCAAGGCGCACCTGGACGCCGCCGCGGGCTCCAAGCTGCTCTTCTGGTCGAGCGTCAAGAAGCAGGCCAACGCGGCCCTCAAGGACGCCACCAAGTACCCCCAGCTGGTCGGCTACAAGACTCTGGGCGACATCACGACGCCCAAGAACTACTACGACACGTACATGGCCGAGATGAAGGCGGCCAAGAAGGCCGGCACCGCCGGCGCCGTCGACGAGATTACGGCTGACGACAAGTACTGGAACGACTGCTCCCAGGCCTTCGCATCCATCGCCACCGGCACTGTCTACGTCATGCTCCCGGCCAACGGCGGCTCCGGTGTCACCTGGGGCTCGCGCGCGCAGTCGCACTGGGCCCAGCACGAGTTCCCCATCATCTGCAAGGGGACCGCCGTTACCAAGCTGGTCCGCATCAACGCCGACACCGGGGTAGAGGAGGACATCACGACGCTGGTCAAGGATCTGCGCACGACTGGCAAGTGCCCGGCGCTTGCTGCTTAGAGCACGAGCAATCTCAAGAGATTGACAATAGAGTTGGATGTCGTGGGTGCTGCATTCTGGCAAAACATGGTTGAATTTTCGGTATAGGTTTTATTTGGGATCGGCGTTGTTGGTTGGGATTGGTAGCATCAGCATTGGCGTGGTATAGGTGTGATTTAGGCTTGGTTTAAGCTTTGTTTAGGCGTTGTAAGCGTTTGATATTACATGATTAAACTGCCAAGAAAATCAAAAAATCAAAAAAAGAACGCGAAAAGAAAACCACATCGAGCAAGGAGCACCAACTACTAACAGGACATTACCACTTGAGCGCTCGACCAAGCTAACCAAGTTCGGCCAGTGTGGAAACTAGAAACCCACCTGACGCTCCGCTCTCGTACGTGAATCTATCGCATCAAGGAGACCGCAAGAGGGGGAAAGACGTAAATATAAGGAGACCCCGAAGGGTGCCAAGAGTATCTATCGCCTAGGCCTCGTATATGAATCAAGGCGTGGGCGATCTATCTGCGCGTATCGTGAGCCTCCAAATGAAGCTATCCGTGTGCCGTGCGAGCGATGGGATAAAGGTCCCCGCTCGCCACGTGACCGCGGGTCCGTGCACCACACTCAACAGAATCCATGCAAGCTGGGTGTCCGCTAGCGGCACGGGTGTCCCCCCAGGCTTTCCCGAGCAGGCCTCTTCGCAGCGGGGCAGAGGCCAGGGTAGGCCCTAAGTCCCTTCTTGCCCGCATCGTCCCTTTCTTTTCTCCACTCCCCCCTCCCCTTCACCTGTAAAAATCGGCAAGCCCGTGCAAAATAGGGCCAAAACAAAACAGCGCATTTCCTTTGCCATCACGACGTAGGAAAAGCAAATGCTAGCCGTTATTATAAATGTAGCATTTTTTATCCCAGTTTTTAACTTGGGGCCGTATTGCTGGCTGGAATAGCCATTATCGGCGTTTTCATACGCTGTACCTTTTGGGGTCAGAGCTTGTATGGCTGGTTGGCTTTCGGGGGGCGGACTGGGATCGCTTAAAACGCGCTGGAAGTCGTGTCACGGTACGCGTCGGGACACCTATGGAAGAACCTGAGGCCGCACTCCCAGCACGCTAACCTCACGCCTACAAAACCAACCACAGCAGAGCGCCAGGGGCGCTCTGTCCAGATAGCTTCATCTCCGTGCAACAACAAAGCCTTGTCCATGACATCTCGGGTGTGCGCCGTGGCATTAACGGTTTTGCGGATAAGATCCTGAACGGTGGGTGCCATGCTACAAATGCTCGATTAGCAAGATAAAAATGGGTTTTATGTTGTTGGGAAAAATAGGCTATGCTTTAGCACCGTCCGATTGAACGGGAGGTAGGCGGTCTTTTAGGCGGGGACTCCCGTAAGTAAGGCATGCACCCGGTACTTCGAGACCAACGATTTTGAAACAGCATTTTCCATCCTTCCGAAAACCAGCCTTTCTTTCTCTCTCGCGAACCTTACATTATCCTGTTTTAATCATGTCGCAAACCTGCCAAAGACATCGTCGACCGCTTCCGCCTCCTTAGATCTCCGGTCAATCGTATTGCACCCGCACCTCATGTGTAGCCCTAATCCCGCCCTGACGCGGCGACTGCCTCCCCCCATTGTCGATGCCGCCTTCGGACCCGCAGAGCGACGTGCCGCTGCGCGCGGCGCCGACCTCCCCCGCGCCGGGCCGGTCGAGGATGCTCTTGTCGCTGTCGTCGTCCATGGTCGTCGTGCCGGCGGCCGGGCTCTTGGGGTTGCGCGACGGCTTCGACCCGATGGTGACGAGCGTCTGGTTCGTGCCGCGGCCCTTGGGGTTGAACCGGTCGCCCGGCGCGCTGCTGCCCGAGAGGTTCCCGTTGCCGGAGCCGCCCAGCCGGCCGAGCTTGAAGCCGCTGCCGCCACCACTCCCGCTCTGCTTGGATGCGTGGCCGTCAGCGCTCGACCCGGGGAAGAGCCTCCGGCCGATGGGTCGGAGTGTCGGGATGCACGAGGCAATGATGGTGGTGGACACCTCGATGCCGCCCCAGATGGTGAGGTCCGGCTGGCCGTAGGTTTGGTCGGAGGAGCTCAGGTTCGGGAGCTGGATCGTCTTGACGATGGCGGAAATTCCGGCGCTGTCGGGACCTGGTGTCAGCGTACGTCTCTGTCTCACACGTCATGTGGGGAGCGGCAGGGCGGGACGTACAAAACTCCAAGGCTCATGGCGAAGGCGATGCCGAGCTTGTCGCGCAGTGGCATCTTGAGCTGGGGGATTATAAACCACGGCAGAGCGGCGAGGGCAAAGTCGCAGAGTGCGGACCAAGCTGCCGGGGATGCAAGACATGTCAGCACTATGCGTTCTTGCGCTCCAGCTCAGAACGGAAGCAGGGTCTACTCACAACCAACGAACAAGGCGTAGTTGGTCAACACCCAGGTCGGCCAGCACTCCCCCGGGACGCCGAACGGGTTCCACAGCGTCCTGATATCCTTGCACTGGACATAGATCATGACGTCGAGGACCGCGTGGATCAGGAAGAGGGACACGGTGATGAACCACAGGCAGATCTGGATGTACTGCTGAGGGAGAACCCTCATCAGCGTGAAGGCGAAGGACATCTTGGCGAAAGCGTTAGCCATGACGGCAAAGGCATTGCCCATCCAGAGGTAGAAGGTGAGGTCGACGAGATGCTGGGTCGGCGCGTTCTTGATCAGGTAGGCCAGGTGGCGGCCCAGACCTAAAGTCACTGCGACTGTGTCCACCGAAACCATACATATCAGGAGCACCTGTCAAGCGAGCGAGAGAGTTAGAACCCAGGCCCGAGGCGATCCTGAAGAGGAACCAGAATCTGCGAGAACCAGACTATTATCGAACCCAACTTACCAAGCCGAGCACCACACACCCATCGTCAACTCCAAATACTTTTTTCACCGAGATCCGCACATAACAGCGGAGCGCCACGAAGACGGTCGCGAGGGTGGCGAAGGTCCACAGCGCGCCGATGACGCTGGGACCTTTGTCTTCCGCCAGGAACTCGGCGGTGTGAGCGGGCAATGCGTCGGCTGCAGCCATCTCGAGGGATCACCGACAAGTTTCGACAGAGTCTATACGGGTGGCTGTCAAACACCTAGGTCGAAGTTGAAGATAAACAAGGAAATCGGTAATTTTTTGTAACTCCACTGCGGTCACGGCAGTACTCCGGGGGGCGCGGACACCGCCCCCCGGCTGGTCAAGGGTGTGTCTGCCGATTTATTCGACAGTCCACAGCGAGCCAGCCAGGCGACCGCGGTCCCTGCACTGGCACCACATAAACTGCTAGGTACGATATCATGTTGGAAAATTGCGAGGGTACACAGCATGAAGTGAAGGAGTGCCGAGAAACACCATCCCAGCCGGTCGCTCAAACGGTGGCTCGCAGACGTCGAAGCTGAAAACTTGCCGGTGGGTCGGAGAAGAGGAAGCTAGAAGGAGCAAACGTCACCAGGATAAGGATGGGAATATTGGCTGGACCTGTCCGTCCAGTCTAGCATGGATGTTGGCGCTAGCAACGCCTCCAATATCAGCCCCTCGAGCGCCACAGGGTCTTTGTCTGCAGACCCTTCAACAAAGGATTACGTTGTTAAATTGCAGAAGAAAAAACCAGGTCGCCCGGATAGGAGGTGACCGGCAAAGGCACCCCTGTTTGCTGTTGTGACTCGGAGGTACGGATTTGCAGGAGCGTGTTGGAACTCGCCCTACGTGATTTTTGCAGTGAATTAAAGCGCGCCAGTTCCGAGTAGCCTCGAACCAAACGCAAACATGGAGCCTCTCAACCAACCAGTTAAGGCTATTACCGAGCCTACCGACACCGGCACCGCGAGGCCGCAGGTCACTCCCGTGCGATCAGGCGGCATCCATTTCGAGCCCTCACCGTCGCTTCCCACAGCGACCCGCAGGGCGAGTACCGCTGCGGGGGAAATAAAAAGTAAAAACCCACCCAGTAACAGGGGGGTAACAGGGGGGTTAAAACTGGAAATCGCAGGGGCCGTAGTAACTTGGAGGGGATGTCATGAGACTTCAAGAATTTCTCGTCCTTTGAAAGCTTTTCTCGATTTCTCTCCTTCTTTCACCAACTTCAATAATGGCAGTGACTTCATGCCAGCACGTGACCCCCCTTTTGCCACCCCTGTAATCTCCAGTTTTAGGGTTTGTGATCCCTGGGACCTGTGCATAGTGTGATGGGCTCCGCTATCGTGCGTGAATCCATGCAAGCAGTGTGCGGGGGTGATGATCCGCTATCATGACCCCCCGAACGTGGCACGGGTTGTCCCCCCAGGCTTCCGTTAGCAGGCCTCTTCGCCGCGGTGCGGAGGCCAGGGTATGCCCTGGTCCCTTCCTGCCCCCTTTCTTTTTTCCCCTCCCCCTTGCCTCTCTTCTTCTCCCCTTCACCTGTAGAGATCGGCCAGCCCGTGCGAGACATGGCCTAGACAAGGCAGCGCATCTCCTCTGCCATCGCCACGTGGGAAAAGCAAGTGCTGGCCGCTACCATGGGTGTGGTGTCTCTCATCCCCAGCCTCCAGCTTGGGGCTGTATTGCTGGCTGGAATAGCCATCATCGGCGTCTTCCACACGCTGTGCCTCTCCCGGCTTCACCGCTTCCCCGGCCCGGTGGCGGCAAAGTTCACCAATGCCTACCGTGCCTTCCGGACCTGGATGGGCCGAATCGACCTCGAGCATCATGCATGGCACAGGACGTACGGCTCGGCCGTGCGAATCGGCCCAAACACCGTCATGCTGAATGATCCCGAAATGATCAGGGTTGTGTTCACGACGAAGGACATCTGGCAAAAGGTTTGAGAGGGAGCCAGCAAGTAACTCGTGATAGCGTGGGTGGTTGAGGAGGGTGTGGGCTGACAAGACATAAAAAAAAACAGTCGGAGATGTACAGGCCCAATGAAGCCCTTGTGGACGGAAAGAGGATCCCAAACATGTTCAACACGACGGACGAGGCCTACCACACCGCCGCCAACAAGCCCGTGAAGCCCCTGTACAGCCTCTCGAGGGTCCAGGAGGTCGAGCCTCTGGTGGACGAGTCGCTTGAGTACCTGATGAAGAAGTTCGACGCGCAGTACACCGACAAGGGCGTCGTCTGCATGTGGGATGACTGGATGGCCTGGTGGGCCTGGGACACCATGGTCAACATCACCTACGGTGAGCACATGGGCTTCATGGACAAGCAGGGCGACATTGCCAACTTCATCCACGCCTCTACCGTGGGGCAGTACTACTACTCCGCGGTGAGATCTCGAGCCCCAAGCCCTCGCTTCTGCGGGGATCATACTAACCAGCATCACCTGCCGCGTGGCGGCAGATCTCCCAAATCCCCTGGCTCGACGACTGGCTGGACAAGAACCCCATCGTGCGCATCGGCCCGCCGCAGGTCTCCACCGGCATCGGCGTGACCTACATGAAGCTCGTTGAGTACATGCAGAAGAAGGCCGCCGCCAAGGCCAGCCCCGACGGCGGCAGCGGCAGCGGCCGCGCCGAGACCTACGTGGACAAGTTCCTCCGGCTCAAGGAGACCCACCCGGACATCGTCGACGACAACCACGTCTTCCAGTACTCGCTCTTCAACATGCTCGCCGGCGGCGACTCGACCGCCTCCCTGCTCCGCGCCGCCGTCTACCACCTGGCCAAGAACCCGGCCTGCTACGCGCTCCTGCAGGCCGAGCTGGACGCCGCCGCCCTCCCGTCCCTGCCGGCCCGGTTCAGGGACGTGTCGGGCCTGACGTACCTGACCGCCGTCGTGCGCGAGACGATGCGCGTCAACCCGGGCGTGTCGCAGACCATCGAGCGCATCGTGCCCCGCGAGGGGCTCACCCTGCCCGACGGTCGCTTCGTCCCCGCCGGCGCGCGCGCGGCCATGGACCCGTCCGTCATAATGAAGAACGAGCCCATATTCGGCCCCGAGGACGTCATGGGGTTCCACCCGGAGCGGTGGCTGCGCCGCGCCGGCGAGTCCGACGACGGCTTCGACGCGCGCAGCCGCAAGATGGTCAGCACGCTCGACTTCATCTTCGGCCACGGCAAGCGCATGTGCACCGGGAGGCACCTGGCCTGGATGGAGATCTATAAGTTCTTGGCGACCATGTACAGCGTTTACGACGTGAGTTTGCCACCCCAACTATCACGTTTTTGCGATGGAATCTTGCTGGCTGGTGATTGGTGGCTAACACGGTACGCATTTTACCTACACCCCCGCTGTTAGATTAAGCTCAAGGATGCTCAGCATGAGTGGAAGTACCGTGCTGCGTGGTTTGTTTTCCAGACCGATATGCCTATGCTCATTACCCGCCGCAAGAGCACCTAAGGGCAGCTCCGCTTCGGTGTTTATCCTCGCGCCGCTGTAAAACCTCGGTAGTGCCACGCGAGCATTGCTGACAGAATCCTGCCGAATGCCTTGTCAGAGGAAGCCAGGCGCCATGTACATGGCCTTTTACAGCCTTGTGGGAAGCTGGGATCGCAAAGCCGGAAGCTTCGTGAAGGTGCCAGCAATTTCCTACCGACGTCGATGGCTGAAAGCATGATGGATTGCCGCATAGGAGGTAAAAGTCCGCAATGGGGAAACAGCTTTAACTGTCGAGTAGATTCGAGAATAAATGGAAAGAAACTTCAAGGGTAAGCAATATCCCACGACCTCCGCGACTACTTGCCTGCTATCGTGCCTGGTTTCGTGTATGGTGGGTTCCTCATCTCATAGCCCCCGTACGGCGCGTTAGGACCTAACAGTTAGGCCCTCGTGCATACTAGGTAGCTGGTGATTTCTAGCTGTTCCGTGTCTGGAATTTGTGATTTCCTTTCAAGTGTGATACGTATGGGCTGTGTCACTCTGTGCGACTTTTGTCTGCCGAATATAGGCCGCCGATCCGGCACCCCCCCATCGAATGGGGGGTTGTCGGGCAAGCTGATAACAGGCCTGGGGAACACCCCCGAACGGGCTGACGGTAAGCCGGTTCGGCCTGACTCACCACGCCTCCGCACATAACGACCCCACCTTAAGCGAACTGGTATGTATAAAGAGGCCCAGCGTGCTTGAATTCACCTGTCGGAGTAAGGTATCGAGAAGGCATCCGATTAGAATCCTGCCTGCGGGCTATTTGCTCTTCAGCCATCAGCCCAGCAGACGTCGGAGCGATGCCGCTCAAGTACACCGTCCGGCGCGGGGTCCCCGAGGACCTCCCCGCCCTGTGGCCCATCGCCGAGGCCGCCTTCGAGTCCGACACCGAAGCCTACTGGACGCGTCTCTGGCGCGACGCGGCCAGCGCCGAGGAGCTCGCCGCCGCCGCGGGCCCCTGGTGGACCGCCTGGCAGCGGCGGGAGATGGCGACGCCGGGCAAGCACTTCTGGGTCGCAACGGCGGCGGCGCGCGAGGACGACGCCAGAGATCGGGGAGAGGAGGAGATCGTTGCCTTTGTCAGCTGGCAGCAGCCGCTGAGCGAGGTCGACCCAAACGCGGGCAAGACGGACGCGGAAAAGGCCGCGGAAAAGGCCGCGGCCGCGGCCGAGTGGCCTCCGTGCATGGACCCGTCCATCCTCGACGTGCGCCGCGCGAAGCACGCCGAGGTCATGCGCCGGGAGCTCGGGGAGTCGTGGAGGGACATGTGGGGTATGTCGCCACGAGACGGGGCTTCGCCCACCGCCTCGGACATCATGGTTGAAGCTGACGCTGCCCACAATCCTTCGACAGTTACGCAAATCATGGCGGTCCACCCGAGCCACCAGCGCAAGGGGCTCGCGACGATGCTCATGCGTCGGGTAATGGACAAGGTCGAGGAGAGCGGCGCCGGGGCCATTTTGGTGGCCACGCCGGAAGGCAGGAAGACCTACAACAAGCTGGGCTTTAAAGACGTGTGCGGCTACAGCCTCCCTTTTGACAAGTATGATGTCTGGCTAATGCAATGGAAGGGGAGTCGGGAGCCGTGACGAAGCACCCAGCAGATATTAAATGCGAGTCCGCCAAGCTCTATCGTGCGAATTAATTAGCCTGCTTATGGGCAACGCCGACAGCAAAGCCCCCATCTCGGACTGGGAGCCGACATTGTGGCTCCGAAGGATACGGCCTCGGGGGGCGGGATTTCAGCTGCTGCCAGTGCACGGAGCCGAAGTCACGGCTCATCATGCCCATTTCCGGACACGCAGTCGCCTCTTCGCAGTCCATGACGACCCTGTTGCCCCTCACGAGCATCTGCTTGGCGTAGCTCTCGATTGCCTTGTCAACATTGGCGTCTCTGTGGGGGACTGGATTTTCATCCCTCTGGTAGCTCCACGATGCGCAGCGGCTGCAGCGACTGGAGCACGACGTGGGACGCTAGCGCCTTCCGTGTAATCTGGGGAGCAGCGGTTGATTTTTTCACTTCCCTCCATCGAGCGCCCAAGCAGCATCTTGTGTAACGCTATAGGTACGCCTCGTTCGGCCGTGGCATTATCCAATAATAGCCACCACCTCAACCGCCCACCTTTGCGGGCGATGCTTGCAGTCGTCGCGGGGATTGCTCCTGGGACCGGGGGTACATTGGCCGAGCCGGAGCCGTCGCTTTACGCCGGTCTCCCTGGCTCCCGGGCTGCATGCCCAGCCGCCCTGATGGCACGTCGGCTGATCGCTCGTGCTGTGGTTCCACCCGCGGATCCGCCTGCGCCGTCGTATCTGGGCAGAACACGTGCGGCTTTGCCCTTTCCGTCTGGCGCGCCCGTGTTATAAGCAGCTGGACGGAGGTCGCCACACGATCCCTCCCACGTCGGCGCAAGAGGAATCGCTCTGCCTCGTGCCGGCTCGGCACGGGCCATTTGTGTTCCGCCCTAGGATCACGTGTCCACCTTGGGCCCAGATGCCTCCCGCACCCCATCAGCTTTGCTCTGTTAATTGGGTACTCATCAATCCGCGCTGCACTGCAGTCGGCCGCATGTGTTGGTGGGGCAAGTGTGATTAATACAGCAACAATCTTCCTCGTGCAACTTTGACTCTTTCAACTCCAACGATGTCTCTGTACCCTTCTAGGAGGATTCGACCGTCTCGGTACCATTTCGTTATCCACGACCTCGTCAGCGGGACTATCGAAGACCTAAGCACACCTGGCGCCACGCTCGAGGTGCAGGGGAGGGTCGCCAAAACCGAGAGTGCGGCAGATGCAGGCTATATCTCGGTTACTGTTGAAAAGTTCACCAAGGCAGAGTCAATCACAAACGCCGGCCAAGTACCAGAGATGCAAGCTTGGCCCAGAGAGGCAAATCCGGTTTGGATTAAGAAGGAGGACCTCCGGTACCACCGGGAGAGCCGGTGGCAAGAGTAGGTGAAAGATGGCGTTTTGGAGCGAAACTGTGGTGCCATTCTGCTTTGTGTTTTTTTTAACAATGCTAACAACGTGTGCAGAGCTTAACGCGGGGCAGGAAGAGGAATTTAAGGGGGGTTAAAGCAGAAGTCGCGAGTTGGCATGATGGAAATGTGAGGTCCGCTAAGAGTCGTAATGCCAAGGCGGAATTACGGAATTCTAATAGCCCTGTGACTTTTTTAGTGATTTCGACCGAAGATATATCTAGCGCTGCTCATGAAGCCCATGATTAGTAGCTTCGCTTGTTGCCGTTCAGGTTATGAAAAGTCTTCTTCCAACCAAGCGCCCCGTATCTGCATAAAGTGTCGTTCGTGTTGGATCCTGGCATGTGCATATGCCGATGCGGAGCGCTAGACCGAGGACGTAATAGAACGGTTTAACCTACTCCTCCGCGGGGGTTTAGCAATTAGGTTTGCTCTAGGATGCACAGATAAAACCGGTTCTGCCTCGAGAATAACATACAGATATTAACCCCAACTGTGTTTTCATTACTGATAATAATGTTTGAATCCCAATCAAGAGTACCAAGCTCATACCAGTGCAATCCTGCTTTTACACCAGAGCAATTGTAGTGCCGGTGGAGGTGAACCCCGGAGATCCAAATGCGAATCGAAATTTAGCTCCTGTAACAAGATGCTTGATAGTCCTCGGCCTCTCCTTTCGTTCAAAAGTTTGTAAAGGCATCTCTGAGATTGCAAGCGCTACCCCTCTCCGCCTATAGTAGGACTGGGACGGGAAATCATCGTTGGCCATAACTTGAGGCTCCGTTGCCGGCTCAATGGCGAGGGAAAGTTGGATGCGGTAGAGAAACCCAAAGCTGGTCAGGACGCAGGTGCCAACTGAGGCGAGGCAGAGACTTTTAGGGACCGTGGTTGCATCGTCAAGAATGACAAACTCGCTGAACTCATCGGGGCCCACGACTGCGTGACGAGCGATCCCGTACAGCCAAGTTAGCCCGTCTTTATGCGGCGAGAATATCCAGTCGAAGCGCTTGATGAAGACGTCGCTGGCATCCTCAAGTGACATCTGCTGTGCGCAAATGGCCACTTTTCGAATTCTGGTGAAGAAGGTGAGAACGGACTGGTGATGGCTCTGAATGTCACCCCGTTTATGCACACAAACATTGTCCAGGTGGCTTCGGAAGTATCCTCGAGCCACAAAAGGCATTACTGGACCTTCCCAGTGCGCCCAGCTCCAGCTAGAAGCCGGGGGCGGATCTAGCGGTCTTCGTGATCCCGCTGTCAACCGTTGGTGGAAAGCTGCGGTTGAGCGTAAGTATAAGAGTGATATTAGTGACGCGGTACGTTGCTTGCGCATTCAGGATCGAATAGACTCCCGAACATACCTCCTTGTGTCCTGTCTACCGCAGACGGGACAGCGAGCACGTATATGAAATCCGGCATATGCTCGAAGTCCCCAACCCAATGCGGTCTTTCAGGCTCACTTTCCTGGTTTGCCCGAGGCATCCACAGAAGGGATCGTGGAAGCGTCTCCACGCAGAGTCCCGCTACGTATCTGATCCCGAAGACCTCTTCGGCCTCCTGGATAATGGCAGCCAAGGCTGGTAGGCGATCGGCCGGATACGTTATTTTCGTTCGGGTGTAGCGCGCCATTACCTTTCCCCACCACTGCTCGGCGGCATCTATGTCGGGGACATCACCACTGTCGGGGTCCCGCAGCGTCTGCCAGTCAAGCTCAATGCTGTCCTGGAATAGCTTGTAGGACGGGAACATTTGGCTTTTGACGCATCTCCTGCACTCCCAGTGCGTTTGGCTGGCGCCAAAGTGTACGATCCTGCGTGAGAAAAAACGCTCTTGGAGTACCCATGCACGATCTTTCCAGCTGGAATTTTTCAGCTCCTTCACCAGGCTACCGCTCCAAGGGGACCAGGAATCATCGCCTGGGGCCAGAAGCATGGGCCCGAGATAACGCCCCGAAAGAACACACGGGACTTGAACTTCGTGGTTGTACAGAGATTGCGATTCTCTTGTCGCTCGAGGTCGGGGGAGAAAGCACCCTTCAGAACCGCCCGCGGCAGACGTAGCAGCGATGGTCAGAACGGCATTGGCATAGATGTATCCCATCAAAACCGTGTGCTTTCTCCAATCCTCCATGCTATCCTGCATAATGCAGATCGAGTCGACCCATAGATGGCGATATCCAATCCTATATGTTATCTCGATCGCCTCTCGTATCGTTTTTGGAAGTTGTAGCGTCGGAAGGCTGTCCTGAAAGGAGTGGTAGTTGTTTGAAGTCGTTGCAAGGACTTTTTGAACACCCCAGCAATAGCTCAAGGCCAGATAAGGCACATCGAGCTCGCTCGCTTCGACAAGACGGGCCACGGTGCCATTAGCCGAAATCTCGATCAACCGTGGTGGCGACTTGAAATGCTTGACAGAGCCAAAGACGAATTTGTCGCAGTCGTGGTGATCTTGGAGACACAATCGCAGCCAGTCGCGGATCGTGCTCATCGTCTCGTCCGCATACGGAGACGCCAGAGCACGTCCAGGCACAACATTCGCTAGGTCCTCAGGTGGGACACTATTGTTCTCATTTGTTGCTTGAGCCTCCTCATCCAACCCACCGAGCTCACGTGAGGGTGCTATCCGGGGTTCTCTTTCGCGTAGGTAAACCCACAACCAGCCGTCCGATCTAGGCGCATCACTACCGGCTGATCTAGGGTCATTGGCGGCTCCGTGTGGCAGAACGAAGACATTCAACCGGCACAACGGGCCCGGTTCTATCGACTCGCGCGTAGCCCGGTCCGGATCGGCGGGTATCACCACTCCTGACCCTCCAGGGCCGTAGATGTCTCTGTGAGCTCGGAGGTAGACTTCCGCATGGCCCAAATCACCCTCTTCGGCTGCATCACGCATAGTAGTGGAAAGGGAACGCCAGATTGTGAGGCAGAGGTCGCAGGCATCCTTGCTCGAGCGGACCCAGCCAAGCCCGCCCCCGATACGTACGCCAGCGCTGGATGTTGGTGTGCGACTATGGCGTGGGAGGTACCCTAGATTTTCGAGGTCGAGCTGCTCGCACGTGTTGCAGAGCCTGAAGGCGACCTCTGCTTCGCGCCATGGGGGTGAGAAGGCATTGTGGTTGGGATGGATAATGTGGATGTCGGGGTGGTGCCAGAGCCTCACCGTGCGAGGCCGGGAAGGCGGTGCTTCATGTATTGGCAGGCGCTGGTTGTGAGCCATGCTCGCCAGTATCGGTTGTGCGAACTGCTGCACCGAGCCAGGTACCGGCGTCCTGGGGCAAAAAGGAAAGGTTTGGTGGTGTTGAGCCTGGAAAAATGGAAGGAATTTTGAAGGGCAAGTTTCAGCAATTGCCGCAGCCCAAATCTGTGCAACGAATGCTTGATATCGTCCCCGCCTAACCCCGCTACCAGAACCAGCCAATAAGCCCCAAGCGGGGTTAGGATGCAACTTCCATGGCGCGCCACAGCTTCGACGCTCGGCTCACGTGGCTGCCTGGCCTTCACTTGACAGGCAAGCGAAGCCACCCCCGAAAGCACCTCTTGATGTGGAACCCAGGTATTTGTGAGGAGCAGAATCTCACAGGAACGCTAAGAAATTAACAAGGGCACCAGGGTGTGTAAAACACGAATGACTACCTAGGTTCTACCAGATAGGTCTTATGATATAGTGACTGATACTACTATAACATATGGAGATCCCGCCAACAGCCAACCACAAAGCGCCCGCTAAAGTTCAACAAACATCGTCAGAAGGCGTGCTGTCGACAAAATCACCATCTAAGTACTTTAGAACTAGTCAGCCCTATCCTCCTTTTTCCGGAGCCATGTCTGCAGCTGCTCCATCCACTTGTAGTCCGCGTCCTGTACCTGTATGAACATGTCCGCATGATGCCGGTCGAGGTACGGCTAGAGCCCAAGCCACCATCCCCAACCCATGCTGTCATTACATATATTATATATGTACCAAAACCGGGACGCAAATTAGTTAGAAAAGCAAAAAAGCAAAAAAATCAAAAAAAGCAAAAAAAGCAGAAATGATAAACAGCATATGCCGGGGATGCGATGAACCAAGGCGCGAAAAGAAATGCAAAGAAAAAAAGTGGACAAGGCAAAAAGGGGAAGGAAAAAGAAAAAAAGAACAAACTGCGGGTTGGCAAAAACAAAAGCAGGAGGAAAACCGGAAAGAATAAGGGACGAAAACGGCAGCGAAAAAATAAAGGAGGCAAATGGGGCGAAGAACAAAACGCCAAAAAAGACAAAAGCAAGAAACAGAAAAACAACGCTCAAACCCCAACTCCCGCTGCAGAGGCAGCATGAATGCAGAAAAAAGGAGAATGGATTTGGTCGGCGTGAGGCCCAGCTGAGGCGTGAACCTCGTAGGTCTCGAGATGCCGGCGAAGCAGCTCGTCCTCTTATGCTCGGAACATCAGGCCGCGGAGGGTGTTGCCCTCGCTGTGGCGGCAGGTTTCTAGATCTGCTGGGGCTCGTCGCGGGCAAAGACACGGCCGCGGTCCTTCTCGGCTTGGACCACCAGGGCGGCGGCCTGCTTGCCCTTGGTGAAGTTCGGCGCGAGGATCGGCTTGCCGGTATCGAGGATGCTGGGGTCGCGTTGCTGAAGCTCTGATCCAGTCGATACGACGGGCGCTGCGGCGGCCTGGAGGGTGAGGAGGGCGAGGAGCCCTTGGCTGATGATGCTAATGGAGAAACGCATGATGGTGGGTGTGATGTGATGGTGGTGGCGGTGATTATGAGGAGGAGGATGAAGGCGAGAGTGACGTGAGGGATAGGACGAGATGGAGCCCATCGATAGGGTCGGATGATGGAGATATATACAGCTGGTGCTCTATCCTCTTGCCGGCGTGGTCCATGGGGACGCCACAAACGTCGATTCCCCCTTTTGGCAGCCGCCTGCTTGGCTCGCCACCACCCGCCCGGCAGTCCAGGTCCCCAAATAGCAATGGCAGTGGGTCTCGCGCCTATTTTGAGATGTGTGGGGTAGCCGGCCGACCAGGCAGGGCCGTATTACCCGCATCTCCATTTGCCACAAACCCACTAGTGGAGCTGCGGGGAGCGGTACATTATTTTAGCAGGACTTTTTATGGTGGAAAATGTATCTGGGTGTGGCTTTTAAACTCAACACCGATAGCCGTTACAGTTGAATTGTGCTAGCTAAAGTGGTGTCGGGAGTCTGGATGACCTTCCATTCTAATTACACGTGTGCACGGTGTTGAACCGTGTTGGGGCTGTGCCCTAGGGGTGCATGGGGTCCTCGCCTTGAGACGCGCCAATAGCGCTTGGGCCGGGACCCTCATGGGTACGTAGCCTAATTAAGAAGGATCTACCGCACTAGTGTTTGTGATCCTGGGCCCGAGCGCCTCCCATGCAAGGCTGGGGAAACGAGTCGTAATCCTGGCTCAGATGATTTAGATTTCCTCAAAAAGAAAACAGTACCATGCGATCAGGCAAGCTAAGTTTGGCGAGGTCCGGGAAGATGGCTCGCAACACATCTTCAGCCCAACCGATGCCGTGTATTTTCTCTCCTTTGGGAACGCACCGATAGTGGACGGAGCAGTCGTGCGTCCCCAACCGCCCATCTCGCGCGATCGATGCCATCTACGCTACACGCCTGGCACATCCCTATTGACGCCGCCAAGCGCCTCGAGGGACTGGTCGCGGTTCCGGTCACCAATGGAAGACTCTCGCTCCTTCCCTTCCCCCCTTCCTCCCATCGTCGCGATATCCCCGCCTCAATGTGCGATACATTTACCTCTTTCGACATCACCACGGAGCCGCCTAGTCGAACAGAGTGTAGGAAAAGCACAACGCGCCAGCATTTTGGTGGAGAGATGGAAATCCACATCGTCGTCATGCCTGGATCAGGTTAAGGCTTTGCCGTGAAAGCACGTTCGGGTTGGATGGGGCGTGTGATGCCGCTGACCTGCAACACCCTTCTGGAAACTGTTAACCCGAGAGAAAAAAAAAACATGAAGCACCTGTAGAATAGCCTTGGTCGTCGCCGCAGCGCAAATCCGCGCATAGCATATTCACCTGCCCGCAGCCTGGCATCACGGCTAGCTATCATTCTACGCGTGAGATAAAATAGCTTGGATGTTGACGATAAAACCAACGACGCGCATTTCACCTTCGCTACAGAAGCCCATGGTTCCAGTGCTCGGGGCACCCAACGGCTTCGCTAGTGCTTTTCCATACGCCATCCTCCATTAGTCCTGCGAGCATAGCGGACAGAATGTCCGGTCCGACCCCAGAGAGATCCGGCCAAGACCACCCCCCACCGTCCTCACAACAGCATCTCGTAGCCCTCGGCCAGGTCCCAGTCCAGCTTGGGCGGCGGCGCGGGGCGGCGGGGCAGCACCATCAGGGCCGCCGACACGCACCCGAACGGCTCGATGCCGTCCTCCATCGGCCCCAGCTCGAGCGCGATGTTGCGGCCCCACGTCGGGTCCCAGGCCACGTCGTCGCGGGCCCGGGGAGGGTACTCGGCCTGCATCAGGTGAACCTTTTCTATCCGGTGGTGGCGGAACAGCTGCGGGTAGTCGGCCAGCATCATGTGCACCCGCGCCACGTGCGGCTGCGCCGACATGAACCAGAACGCCCGCCTCTCGAGCCCGTCGGCCGCGTCGTGGCGCAGCGTCAGCCGCTCCGTCCGGGGGCACGGCGCGCGGCCGTCGGCGCCCGGGAGCGCGTCAAAGACAAGGTCCATGGCCTCGGCTGTGTTCAGCATCAGGCGGCCGCCGGTCGTCTCGCGCGTGACCGCGAGCACCTCCTCCATCACCACGAGCCTGAGGGGCCTCCGCGGGTACTCGTTCTCGTTGCCGTGCGCATGTGCCCAGGTGAAGGCGAGCAGGTCCGACATCCGCAGGTCCGGGCACGACTCGGCGAACATGGTCGAGTTCATCGACTTGACCATGAGGTTCCCAGCGGCTGTGTCGTGCGTGGCCGTGAGGACGCCATACACAAAGTAGTATGTCGCCGACGTGACCCATTGCGACTCGGGCGTGAGATGGCGCGTCGTGGGCAGGTCCTGCAGGGGGTGCTGGCCGCCGCTCCATTTGATGACCCCCTGGCAGCTGGGAGGGAGCATGAAGAAGCCCACGGCTGGCAGGTCTGGGAAGGCCCTGGGATGGGTTGCGCGGTTAGATCTCATGTCCGTGGAGTGCGTAAGTATCTAGAGGTACATGGCGGCCGGCGGAGAAGGACTCGAGGTACCTGTCTTGGGCGTAGAGCGCAGCCTCTGTCCTCTGTACTATCTGTGCTCCATACTCCACCACCGCCGGATCGAAAGGGGGCGCTGGGGTCGGCGCCATCCCTCCTAAAAATACCCGAGAATGACAATTTGAAAATGTGTTTGTTCTGTCGGAGCTTCTGGACTTGGTGGCACAAACTGTCGAGCCGAGGAAATCCAAGAACGCTGCACATGTGAAGTAAAGGCAGGAGCGTATCCCTTAAATCGGTAGTTGCTCGTCACTCGTCGCTATCCACTGTGTTCTCCCAAGTGACGCATTGTCCAACCACCTCAGCGCCGTGTACAACCCGTCAGTTGCTTGTGTTCCTTGTCGTCAGTCATTTTCTAGGAGGATAGCGGTTTTTGACGGATATGTCGTGAACCACCGTCATCGCCATCTGACAGCCGGGAGAGCGTCTATATGGTTGAACCTCGCTGTTGAGAATATGCAGCAATAGCCCATCTACCAACAGCCATTCGTCGTACTCATCCAACACCCAAAGTGACAAAATCTCTTTCATCACGGCCGGTCACCTGCCACGACGTCGGCAACGCAATAAACCAAAGACGGACTGCGCCACAACAGCCTCAGATGGAGAGACAACAAGGAGCGGAAGATGTGTTGCTCCGATCGCCCTAGATCCGCTGGGTTAAATCCGAGGAGCACGATCCGGGCGCGGATACGGAACCATGGATCAGGGGAGCTGGGATGCTTGGCTAAATGGACAGATGCCGGCACAATGGGCATGGCTAGATTGTCTGCCCTGCTTTCGTGTCCAGCGACTCAACTCCAGCCCCTTGCCTCTCTTCCTTTCCAAAACGACAACTGCCGAGCCCGACCACTGCCGGACGTGCCCCGCACTCGAAGCCATCTAGATGGCGATATTGCGCTACAGCCAGTCGGCAATTTCCCACCATACTCCCCCCTGGAAGTGATCTAGACAAGTGTATTTAAGTCTCAATGCCGCTCGTCTCGGGAGCCACCTGGTCGACGGCCCCGCCAAGCACCGACAGACACGCAACCGTTCGACTCACCCCCTCCCAGCACTATGTTCTGCTGCACCACCCTCGCCATCCTGGCCGCTACTATCGCTGCTGTGCCGGCCACCGCCGCAGACTGCACGCGCGAGTACCTCCAGGCTGCGGCTGACGGCTACGTGGCGGCGCAGCGGGCCGGCGACGCCTCCCTGGCCACGGCGCTGTCGGCGACCGCGTCGGGATACACCGAGAACTTCAAGCGGCCCGTTGGGAAGCCCATCTTGTCCCGGCCGCTCGGCGTCGACTTCTCGCGCAGCATCCTCGACACGACCGCGTGCGCCACCTACACCGAGGTGGTGGTGACGGACCCGGCGCACCCCTACGTCATCGGGTCCCAGATCCACTGGGCGGTGGCGCCCAACAACAACAACAACAGCACGGCCGCGACACCGGTAAAGATCGAGACGCTGGTCACGGACGCGGGCGACTGGCTGTTCAACGCGACGGGCACGCTGCACTACTCGAGCCGCGAGAGCTGGGACCCCATCCCGGAGGCGCAGCGGGACACGCGCGACGCCATCCGGGCGGCGGGGGACGCGTACTGCGACCTGTTCAACGACAAGACGGTCAAGGTACCGTGGGGTATGCCGTGCCAGCGGCTCGAGGGCGGCGTCTACGTCGGCCGCGGGCTGCCGACCGACTCGTGCAACGTGGGGGTGCCCAGCGGCGTCGCCCTCACCAACAGGCGCTACGTCGTCGACGAGGTGCTGGGCACTGTCAGCATATTTTTGACCTTTGGCGGGTCGCCCGATAGCCACCAGTTCCGGCTCGAGAAGGGGAAGCTGCGGTTCGTCCACACAATCACGGTCACTGGGCGGGACTGAGAAGGGGGCCACGCGGGTGGTGGCGTGCATGTAAGCAGAACCGGTGGTGGTGGTGGTGGTGGTGGTGGTGGCGGTGGTGATGGTGGGGTGGGTCAAGACGAGAAGACGGTCAAGTTTTCCTTGGAACAAACACCGGCTAGAATCCAAAAAAAAAAGGGCCGTCTAGAGAGTCCCATGTGGTATTCTGCCTGCCACCGAGCTCATGCGTTTGAACTCCTTCCCCACCAAAGCATACCGTCACTCCTCGCAGCATCGCTACTGCTCCTTCGACCGCGGCCGCCCATAACCCTAGAGTCGTCGGGTAGCGAGTGGCCGCCATCGCCTTCGCTTCTCGACGACCCTGCGTCGTCGTAGCTCACGGTGACAATGTCGGTCCGCACGATCTGGCCCTTGGGGGGCCTCATTGTGGGAAGCACCATGCTTTCTGCCCTGTCCTCATTGTTTCCCAGTGTGTAGCCAGCCCTTGGACTGGTGTCCGCGCCTGCCTGGGCGGTTATGGTCAGCACTCTAGCTCCGCCCGACCCCTTGCTCTGGTGCTGGTGGAAGCCTGGGCCCAGTGCGACTGTCGTGCCTAGAGTCGTCATGGCCCTGCCGAGCTGAAGTATGCTCTCCTGGCTCGCCGACTTGTTGGAGGCCTTGGTAGCAAAGTCCGAATTGCGCATCTCTGGCGCCGTGTCGCTGCGTCTGACGAGTCGCTTCGGATTCTTGATCGCGGCCGCGTAGTAGTGGGCAGCAGTTGAGGGAGGTTGCCTGCGCTCGGGCGCAACGGTCACCGCAGCAGAGCGGACGCTACTGTTGCGTTTCGCGCGCACCGGACTAATGGCAAGCTCGTGGCCGTCGGCGGCCATTGGGGAGCCCGTGGTCCAAGACTGTCGGGCACCCGAGCGTCCCAGAGCGTAGCCCTTGTCGTCTCGATGCGCTTGGTAGCCGCCGCCATAGCCCGGTCGGCTTGGATCACTCGGGTCACCGAGAAACTGTCGGCCGAAAATCCGATCGATCAGGGGCCGGAGGACGGGGATACAAGTTGCCATTATAAGGGTGTTACTCTCGACGCTGCCTTGTGTGTTAGTGTCTCTGCGTCACCTGGCAAGGAGCTGGGCGGACTTACTTTGTCCAGGCCACAAGTTCTGCCGTGTCATCTATTATCACCAGGTCAGGGTCGGTGTCCAAACGTCAGTCATGGACGGTATGCCGAACGTAGTCTTACAGGTATAATCTTTGCTTCCCAGCGCTGGCAGGAAGGTGCACTTGTAGATGGCAACAATGGAGGCGCTATTGTACAAAAAGCAACGGAATTGTTCAGCAAACTCGTGGGGGTCGAGAGCAAAAGTTGATGACACGCTAACTCACAAGACGCCAAGGCCTAGCGCTATGCTTAGCGCTGCTTTCTTCCTCCAAGACAAGCTCTGAAGCCTGAACAGAACTATGGTTGGGTAGACGGCAAGGTACATGTCGACGAAAGCGGAGTAGGCTTCGGGACCCATCTGTCAGTGGTGCCACGCGAAAGCCACGCGGAAGCGGCGCGTGTTTTGCTCCCATAGGCCATGCTCACCTCCGGCAAAGTACGCGGTGTACAGGTTCACCCGGGGGTCCCAGCAGCTCTTGTCCTCCTTCTTGATGCTTTTGTCCCACAGGGCCGAGACGGGGTTGCACTGTGCAAACTCGACGACGATGTTCGTGCACAACACCACGAAGCAAGAACCGGCAAGGCCCCATAGGAACCTCCGGTGAATGCGGCTTGGGTTCATGAGATGCGTTAGGAGTGCCACAATGGCGAGCTTTGGGAAAGCAAACGACAGAAGGCTGGGTACGAAGCCGGTCATAACGAAGAAGATGGCGTCGTGGAGCTCCTGCTGCGTGAGCGCGCGCACGTGTCGGCCGGCACCCTTGAGGTTGGCAGCGACGGAGAAGCCGGCGGCGACCCAGGTGCAAGCCATGGAGACAATGATGAGCCAATCGTCGAGATGTGCCGCGCGCAGTACACGCGCCCGTGTGTACAGACGCGCGATAACGAAAAGCGTGGTGATGCATGTTAGGGACAGGATTGTGACGATGATGCCTGGCCCTTTGTCCTGGGCTGCAATATCCGGTGGAAGTGGCTCGTTATCGTCGATGTGGCCCACGTTTGCGGCGCGAACCAACAGGCGCAGTATGGAATCCATAATTGTGCAAGGGCCTCGGTGGATGCTGCTAGATTTTCGTCGATACCCAGGCGGTCGCGAGGCAAGTCGGCTGCAGCTAGTTACGCCTGCATCATACCCAGGCCGAGACTTCCAGGATCGTCCTGGCGCGGGGACGGGCGCTGGGAGGAAACATGATATATTCGGAAGAAGCCCGCACTCTGGCGCCCAGTCGGGCTTGTCCTCATGGTCCGGCATTCGAATCGGGTCTCGCAGGAATCTTGGCTGGGAAAAGGACGCGAGGCACAGTCCGGCCATTGGCCCCAGGATTTGGGCCTACTTGGCGGGAGGGTGTGGGTGCAATCAAGGCCGCTCCTCCTGCGATTGAGGTCTGATGACCGCAGCTAAATCTGAGGGGTTCACCCTGGAACAACCAAACGCAGTCCGGACTGTCGGCACGAGCTCCGTCGCAGAACGCACCGTATCGTCACCGTGTGCTTGGCTACCTACCACCTATCCAGCTGTCAAGAGAAGTCGTTTCGGTCTGCAACACCGGTGACTGAAGGAGAAGGTGCAAAGGGATTCGGTTCCCGGTGTTGGCAGCTTGCAACAATTACTGTCACTATTTGGGGTTTTCTAGTTCGAACTGCACTGTCACCCTCCTTTTTTCCCCCTGTCAGCACGGTGGGTTGCACTCTACCAGACCTGTTCCCTAGCTGCATGTCAACCTCCCTCTTCCTTTCCTGGTCATTGGCTGGCCGCCTTCCTCTTGCTCAAGATCGGCGCTGCGCATGGCAAAATGAGCCACGCCAAGCAGTCACAGGGAAAATGTGGGCACGAAGGAAACTCGAACCCTCAGGGACTCCCCCCGGGGGGCGCCCTGTTGCAGAAACGAGCGGTAACTACCAGTCCCGTGGTGTCGGGTGTGTGTGTGTGTGTGTGTGTGTGTTCCATCGAAATGTGCGTTTGCCTTGTCTTGGATGCCCTCCTTGTTGGCTCTCGAGCGAGCTTGGCCGTCTAGAAGGCGAGGGCCGGCGGAGAACGCTCTCGCTGCCCCGTGCCGTGCTTGGGTGGTCTTTAGCCGAGAGGGGCGGGCTGGAGGGTCGCGTGCATTCCAGAATTAGCCCGCTGCGGAAACGTCCGTGGCTCTGGGTGGTGTGCGCGCGTCCCTAAGACACCATGCATAGGGCCTTTCATGCAGCCGAACTGGGAGGCCACTGGATAAAGGATCGGCATCGCAGCGCACGGCCTAGACTTTCCTGTACTTATCTCCTCTCGGCACTTCTCGTCCCAGCGAACTGGGAGCATGGCGGGTGGTTGCTGGCAGGAGATTGAGTGTTGGCGGTTGTTGGTCCGAAGCTCCATCGTGAGCTCCTAGGTGCCATCTGTTTGTCTTGGCACGGTTTGTTCGCAGACATATTAGGCAGAATTCCAGCATAAAGGCGGTCGAGCAAGGGAGCGCGATGAGGTGCGTCGCGACCAACAGCAGGTCAGGCTGTTGCTTCGGAGAGATGGATGGCGCGAAGAAACAAACCAGATAGAAATGCTGGGATTCCAGTTTTGGCGGGGAAACACGCTCCGGCCAGACCGGCAAATCGAGGATGGCGCTGCCCCAGCTCAGCTCACGAACCACGCGGGGGATCGCCAAAAATTAACGGGTGGCAAGCGTGGGCCCGCCAGCGGAGCAATTACAGTCAATAGCCCAGAAGCACGCCCAACACGGCGCAGTTGCCCAGCCGCTCCTGATCTGGGCCTTCTCGACAACCTGCAACGATGAGCGAACTCGCGATTACCTGCAGATCCAGGTATGAAGCACAGCTGACTGGGGGTTCGCTGTGCCGCTATGCCACATCCCCGCCGCAATCGATCCCTGCGCCACAGTCCAGAGTCTGGAGTCCAGATCCTGTGCTAGAGGGCTCCAATCCGCTATCCTCAACCATCTGCGGCTGCAACCACCAGTAGCCGCGTTGGCGCCCAAGAAGGCGCTGCGTCCATCGAGCGTCCAGTCTTGGCTCAATCGATGCCAACAAAAGCGAAGGAAGGATTCCTTCTCACTGTCGGTCAATGCAACCGACGCCTCTTGCAGCCCTACCTCGCTTAAGCTCATGTAGGTACGCGACGGGCTAGATCCAGGCGGGCGGCCACTATGCCAGGTCCGTGGTACCGAAGCAGCCCATGGGAGTCTGTGCGCACACCCGTGTTGCACTTCCGCTCAGTTTTCCGGCCCGCGGGTAGTCCGCCATGCAGTGCATGTACTCTCGGGGCGCAGCAAGGCCCGCTGAGCCGAGCGGTCCTGAACTAGAGTGCGCCTTTGGCTCGCTCCTGCCCAGCAATGGCAACCGAAAAGAGAACAAAACGTGCATTCATGGACCAGCCTTGGACTTTAGGACCCAGCCCCGCCAAACACCATGTATGTTGCCGGGCATACCAGAGCGCCGGCTTGCCCAAATTCCTCTAGCCACTTGCTACCTTCAGGCTCGAAAAAAGCCAAGGTGCCTGCGGGGTGGTTACCAATGTTGCTCCACGTATGGGTATTCTACTTTGGGCATATGGTAGCAGCATAAAGCCAATCCTGCCAGGTTGCCTGGGTTCGTCACCGATATGTTCCCAAATCCTTCACCACCTCCATCCATGGTTCTTTTACCAAAAGCACAAGTTGAAGGGATGGGGCTGATGCGGGATGGATGTCGAGGCGGGGGGTATCGAACATGGGAACTAGGTTTACATGGCATATGCATTGCGTGCATCCACGGATGTCGTCATAGCAACGACTACTCTGATTTAGGTGGGAAGATATTCACCCACCCGGTGTGATTTTTTGTGCCCATTTCGAGACCAATTCACCTACCAGGTGACCGTCCTGTCTTTGTCATCAGACTCGGTCAGCCGGCCACCCTGGCAGTGGCAACAACGTGAGCGGGCCGTTGCTGAGTAACTGCATTGAACCCATCCGTACGAGTGCTCGCTTTCGGGCTTGGAAAAGTACCAAGGAACCGCCGCTATTGGTTGACGAGAAGAGGCTGTCACGCAAAGGTTTGGTAGCGAGGAAGAAAGACCGAACAGCATGTCAAACATGAAGAACTACTGACGTGAGAAATTCGTGTCATAATTACACATCCCGCGGCGGCATCCCACCTGCGAACAGATATTCCCCAAAGTAGAAGCTTGTACGCTGCATACATCAGAATGTACTTTGTCGTTTATCTGCTATAGGTTGCCTGTCTGCGAACCACGACCTTGGCGTTTCATCCTGGCGTTAGGTGACGGGGCAGAGACAGCCGGACCCAGGAAGGAAATAAACATCAACTACCCCGACCTGCTATAACGATCGCTCAATTCTCTGCTGCCTCGAGGAGGTCTCGTCTGATGGATGTGTTGAGTATTGGTCGCCGTCACTTCAATTACACCTTAAGGAATGAGGTTTTTTAAACCTCTATTCATTCTCTCCCAGTCCAAGGTCTTAAATATCTGCTTGCTGGTATTTGATATGTTTTCCAGTATTTGGTTTAATGCCTCCCCTTAATGCATCCGTCTTCCCATGTTATTTTCTGACCAAGCCCCATTCATCTTCACATGGTGATGTCGAACAAGTTTGCCCGTCACGCTATCACTTAAGCTAGCTCAGTTTTCAACTTCAATCATTTACGAGCCAGGATGGAAAGAGATCACCTGTCCTCTGGACGTCAACGCCACTGGCTTCTCAGCAGGCTTGCTTGCATCTTACAAAGTCATCGTCATGACGGTGGTGGTCAGCAACGCGGCGCAAGACTTTCATGCCAATTTCTATGATGCAAAATGCCCAAAAGTGGCAAGCTCGGGTGGCCAGGCTGCAACCTGCCTGGGCGACCTTTTCTTTATAAAAGCCCGATGGCCCAGCCGTTTATGAGCCTGCCAGTTTCCTCCGAGCCATAGCATTCAAAGCCCTATCATATCCACTCACAACCAAAACCCTGGAGCATCCCAATAATCCCAATATCAGCCACCATGGTCAAGATTGCTATCTTCGCTGCCGCTGCCGCCGCGCTGGCTGGTCAGGCCACCGCTCAGGTCGGCCCTGAGTGCACCCCGGCGCAGTTCTACTGCGGGTTCTCTCTCCTGCGGGGTCCTAGTATGTCACCTGTCCTCGTGATTCCCGTAAATCCTGCCCCGGATTTGTCCTCAATTGCAGCTACTAATCTTAACAACGAGCCAGACGAGAATCTCTGGAGGGGGCGGATCAACAAGGCTTTGCAGGAGCGTGGCCTCCCCACGGACGGAACCCACCAGTCCGACAGTCTCTTCTTTGTAAGTGTTCTGTATTATCTGCCGTGGTTCGGACATAACCAAGGAGGCTGATCTCGGTTGTAGTGCTCCACCCCTACCACCCTCGCGCTGGACGAGTTCTGCCCCGGCACCCCCACGATCCCGGGCCGCCGCTGCCAGCCCTCTATCAGCAACTTTTGCGGGAATGGAGTCACGCTGAACGACTGCTGCGGTGGCACGGCCTGAGCGCTTACAATGAGCGAGGTGTTTAATTCGAAGCAACATTCTCAAACCACCTCTCAGCTTCAACTGGTGCATCTGCACAGTTGGTTGGAGGTGTAAACGCCTTAGGAGTAACATGGTTCCATGTTTCTATTATGGGGAGAGGGGAGGGCCCGCGAGGTAAATGCGGGGGCATGCAAATGAGGACAGTTGTTTTTCACTCACTACCTTCCAGCACTGTCGATCCAACTGAGTCACTCCTTTATTCAATCTCCTGTCAATGAGGAACAAATTCATTTACACCAAACGTATCACTAGTATACTTTCCTAATAAAACCTTGATTTTTCCATAGTGAATGGGTGGCGTCCTACGGAAAAGCCAGCGGGTTGCCTCCTCTTATTGTGAAAAGGGTTTGCTCGAAGCTCCTTGTCCAGAGAGCGGTTGTTTAGTATAGGTTTCCTGCACACTCAAAATACTGATTAACGCTCCCTTTTGTTGTGAACTTTTACGCCCAACCTTGCGTCTAGCGCCGGGTGACCCCGATCGGAGCAGAATTGCGGTTGAGTTGCCTACTTTAACCATAATAACCCTTCGTCGCCCTGTGGAATCCCATCTGGTTATGGCGCACTAACTGACTGGGTGTTGCTGCGCGCGACGCCTGGAGATCTAACGAAAACCGTCCCATAATAGTGCCATTAGACCTTTGCCGCTTATGTGCACGTTCATCCCACCAGCCAGGCCCTGAGATTCCCGCTCGGACAGGCCAAGGCGGGGCGTACTGAGCGGTGCCAACCGCTGGTGCGGGGGCGCGGATGCTCGGCGCTGCAAGACCGTTGATCGTCAAGCCCCTTGCGGTGTGCTATTTCCCATCAGGTGTGCTTGTGGCTTACACTGCTCCTTCGTTTTCGACCCATATAGGCTTGCATCTTCAGTTTGATACACGGCTCCCCGCTATTGATCTAGATGGCGATCCCGTCCGGTTAGCACTATTAGCCTCCACTGGCTCGGACAGTTCCTGGGGTCGCCGCAGGACAAAATCACTTGAACCAACCAGCGGCGCATGTCCGTTACAATCTTCAGGTTTGACCCCAAAGCACCGCTCCAGGATGAGTGGCTCAGAAGTTTTTCTTAGCTGCAGGCATGTTGCCAAAGCAGATACACGATTTAAAAGTCGCCATACCCACCTATTTGTGAGAGAACTTCCTCCGTGCTTCATTCCTCCTACCTCTTGCCGGGTCACACATCACGTTTCCCATAAAACGTGGTAGGTTTTGCCGCATTAAGACCAGAATAAAACTTCATCATGATGTGCATAAAGGTCTCAGTGGACGCTAAATAACGGCATTCGTTCTAGAACCTAACACCCAACTTTTATGGCTAAGCCAGCAGTCCGAGCCAACATCAGGCTATTGTATGTGCTTGGGCTGGGGCAAGACCCCTGGATTTTCTCCACGGAGCAGTTTGGGCTAATAGCAACCCAGAGATCTTAGCCGCTGGTCAGCACCTGTAGCTAAAGCTTGCTTTGACAGGATCGATGCGCTAACGACGGGACCCCAACTGCTAGCTTTGCAGGCAAACGAGACCCTTGAATGCAGAACGAGGATAGAGAAAATACGAAGGGCTGCACGGATGCGATGGCCCGGGATGGTGATTATTGCTACCCATGAGTGGGAAAGGCGCATCCCATGGGATGTTGATTGCTTGCAAGGCGACTTTCTTTGGATATAAAAGCACACCTCGGCGCCATTCATCGACACAATCTTCTCTCCCCCTCATCAGCCCATCTTCCCTTCCTGGCATCTCTCGCTTGCTCAATCTCCTTCATCCCTCGTTCTCTTCTTTCGCTTCTGCTTAATTCCTTGACCTCTTCTTTCCTTCACCACGCACGTGAATCTCAAAGCCCTCAGCACCCCCGCGGTGGCAGCTCTCGCCGCCGCGGCTCCTCGTCCTGACTCAGGCCGGGACGTCGGAATCGCCTCTGAATCCGACCCTTCCCGCACCGCCGGCACCGACGCGGCCACCTCCACCGTGAACGCCCTTGACCACACGGCCATAGCGACTAGCGACGTGGCCGCCGCCGCCGCTACAGCCAAGACGCTGTCTCCGACTTCCAATGTGAAGGGCAAGGTCTTCGATCGTATCCTTTAGATATACCTCGAGATCACTAGCTTTGATGACGCAGTTGCGGACCGTGAGTGACGCGCTTGATGACCGAGACGCAGGAGATTGGTACTGAACCGTGTCCCCCCTTGTGTACAGCCAACTGCCAGGCCCTCATCAAGCAGGGCATCCCCCTAACCGAGAACTATGGAGTTGGAACGCCCAGCCAGCCCAACTACATCTCCCCGGCCAGCGGCGACATCTTTGGGCTGAACAGCGACAGCTTCGTGCTCGTCAACAAGAACGTCTCCACCATTGTGGATCTCCTGGAGGACAAGGGCATCAGCTGGGGTGACTGCAATGAGGGCCTCCCCTACTCGGACTTTGACGGCTTCGAGTACTCCAACCCCTCCGAGGGCAACTACGTCCGCAAGCACAACCTGCTGATGCGCTTCAACTCCGTCGCCGACGACGTCGACCGCGTCGCCAAGGTCAAGAACTTCACCCTTTTCAACGAGAACCTGCGGAACAAGCGTTTGCCCCAGTGGGGCTTCGTCACCCCCAACCTGTACAACAACGGCCACGACACCAACATTTCGGTCTCGTGCAACTTCACCCGCACCTTCGTGGAGCCGCTCCTGAAGAACGAGTACTTCAACAGCGGGAGCGGCGGCAAGGGCGAAACCCTCGTCTACATCACCTGGCAGGCCAACGGCCAGAACCCGCTAGCCCGCAACCACGTCGCCGGCATCCTGCTCGGCTCGGCCGTGCCCGAGGAGAAGCGCGGCACCAACGACACGGCCTTCTACAACCACTACAGCGAGCTCTCGTCCGTCTAGGCCAACTGGGACCTGCACACGCTCGGCCGCTGGGACGTGGGCGCTAACGTGTGGTCGCTGGTCGGCAGCCAGACGGACGACAAGATCCGCGCCTGGGACGACGCCATCGCGGGCGACTCGTTCCAGAACTACTACTGGAACCAGAGCTACGACAGCGTCTTCAGTAGCGCCACCAACACCAGCCACGTCTACGTCCGCCCCAACCTCGGCCTCGTCCACAACGGCCGCACCGTCCTGCCCTCCGTCGTCAGCACCTAGCAGTCCGCCGATGCCGCCTGTCGCCGCGTCCGCTCGCGCCAAAACTCCAGGCGCCCCGCTAGGTACGGAGATGAGGACCACGACGATGACCACGACGACGACCACAACGACGACCACGATGACAGCCCCTCGGATGACAACTGGCTACTACCGCGACATCATCGAGATCCCCGACGCGTTCCACCCGCCCAAAGGCTTCGAGGTCCCCATCGGTCTCGCGCCGGCGGAGCCCATCACTACTCCGATTACGGTGTACCCCTTCTAAGCGCGCTCATTGGCGCTCCACGGTCCTCCTTTTGGGGGATGCCTCCGTCTAGCCCCATCCCCAACGCTCGGGGCAAGGTCATTTGACAGTAAAAGTTCAGACTGTGGTTTGAGGAACCAGCAACGATACCTTTTGTCTTCGTGCCTGACAGCATTTGACCCTGTTTGGATGCTTGTATTATTCCCATTTGTTTTACACTTGTTTTCCACTCTGTATTATTGCCAATTTGTAGCACGAGCTGGCGCTTGGTACCCTTTCACGTCTTATGGACCTCGGGGCTTCAATTCTGCTTCCTTCAAGTTCGGGGATGATGGAAGAATTGTTTGTGCACCTGGGGGTGTATTTTTTGTATAGCATTAATCAAAGCCATAGAATTTCTGACTCGAAATGCCTACCAATGTCGCTGCACTTGTGATCATTATGTTTTCCGTTCACCGATCTACCCCATCACGAAGAGGTGGGGAGCTGCAGCTTCGCGACTCAAAGGGACCCAGACACCCCATCCCCACATCGCCTAGCATGGGCAACGTGCCTGAGTGGTTAAAGGGTATGACTAGAAATCATATGGGTTCGCCCTCACAGGTTCGAATCCTGTCGTTGTCGAGTAAAGCATACATTTTTGGCAGCATCACATGTGATTCGTAACATGTCACGGATCCGGAAAACAGTCTGGACCGCAAATTTTTTCCCCACCTAAACTCTACCTCTCCCAATACAATTGCACCAGCACCAAAGCCAAACAACATGCCCGCGCACCACTTTAC